TAAATTGATTAGGACAGAACACACCATGATCAATTAGGCTTTTATTTACGGTTAGGCTAAATGCTATATAATGATATTTATTTCAAATTTGTACGCTATACAAGTTTTATTCATGGCCTGGGGGTCGTGTCATCGTTTTACTATTACACACGTTTTTATATCTTCCTTCAAGATCATAAGGCATGGCAACTGTTGTAGATATATATAGAAAAGTGCAAATACCCTAAATTGATTTTTCATCAGTTATCAATATTTTAACAAGTGACGCTGTTTTACTTTCACCTTGAACAAATATTGAAATATTGCCAGTTCATTTACCTTAATTTATACACCAGTATAGCATGAATAGGCTTAATATTTATTTTCAGAAAGGATAGTGTTAAGAGTTCAATACGCGTATTTGGCTCTAGGTCATGTTGTAGTCACTGTCATTTCATCATGACAACTGACCGATGATTTTGTATAGCAAGTTCGACTACGTCAGAACAATCCCATCAAGTTGCATTCATGAACGATTGATTCCGGTAACTAACGAACTGTCCATAAGAAAAGGAAAAGTAAAGATAACACGAGTGGCGATATGAACTAAATAACATTTTATTAATCCCATTTCTTTTGATTTTTTAAAATGCTGAATAAATAATTGTTAAACTGTCAGTGCGTACAATTCCATATTTTTACATTGTATTTAACCTGAGTTTTAACAAGTTTATTTAAGCTAAATTCCGAAAATATAAATATTGAAATAAATTTAGTTTTCTCGTCTGTTGATTCTCATACCGTGCTCAATTCATTTGAAATTCGAAATAATAGTAACAATCAAAAATGTGCACTGGGTACTGGAGATGCAATACAAAATAAAACATTTGCTAGAATATGTTTGTCTGTATAGCTGAGCTCGCACATCATCATATGTAGAAAAAAATGTTAGGAACGAACGTTTACTTTATAAAAAAAATACTTCCTTCAACAACATTACCATTGTCTGAAAATCCGGTTGTTTTGCCCCATCCATCCAAATTCACAGCGTTGCGACTGAAATAGAACATTATATTATATGAGTGAATAAAATATTTTTGTTTCTATACTATTCAAAAAAAGTAGGGGATATTTGATTTTGGGGGCATAATACTAAAATATGCAAATGACTACGAAAAAAGTCACTATAGAACCTAACAGAAGAAACATTTCCAGTTACATGTGACGCCCAAACGCACCAATAGCTACCGCATGGAATGCAGGTGATGCTTGGGATCATCATGGGGGTCCAACCCAAGATTTGCACGACTCTGACTTTGAATGTTACAGTCATTGTGGCATTGAATTCCAAGGTGGAAACATCAGTTTAATTGTTTTAGTGACCAGAAAACAAATTTTGATATGCGTCGGCTTACCCAAAATGAAAGGTTACGTGCCCTTGGCATGCTACAGATCGGCACAACACAGGCGGTTGTGGCGCGGACGATGAATGTTTCTCAGTCTGTCATAAGCAGGCTATGGTCCAGATACCGTGATACACAATCTGTACAGGACAGACCACGCTCAGGTCGACCAAGGGCGACAACTCAAGCCCAGGATCGATTTATCCGTACCTTGGCCTTGAGAAATCGTGTCATCACAGCAAATCAGATCAGCGCTCGTCTTCAAACAGACACTGGTGTGAGAGTGAGTGGCCAGACGATTCGGAATCGACTGCATAGGGGTCACCTTCGCGCCCGACGTCCTCGCGTGATACCTTGTTTGAGAGATCATCACATTCAGGCAAGACGTCGTTGGTGTAGGGATCGTCAACACTGGGATAATCGACGCTGGGGCAATGTGATGTTTTCAGATGAGTCAAGGTTCACTGTTGATTTTTTGGACAGACGTAGGAGGGTGTGGCGTCGTCGAAACGAGCGCTTCCAAGACGTTAACGTCATCAGACATGATCGATTTGGGGGTGGTTCTGTTATGGTGTGGGGAGGCATCACTGTTGCTGGAAGAACGGCTTTACATGTTGTTACAGGGCGTGTTACAGGCCAGTACTACCGGGACAACATCTTGGCAGTCCATGTTGTGCCGTTCGCACGACGTCATGGCCGCCGTTTCATCTTCCAGGATGACAACGCAAGATGTCACAGGGTCAGGATCGTTACAGGTTACCTCCAACAACAGAACATCACCACATTACCTTGGCCAGCACTGAGTCCCGACCTCTCCCCCATCGAGCATGTCTGGGACATGCTTGGACAGAGGTTACGTCAACGTCAACAACGTCCTGCCAATGTCCAAGAACTTGCTGCTGCGTTGCAACAGGAATGGGACAATCTGGACCAAAATGACCTTAGACGTCTCATTAGGAGTATGCCACGTCGGATCAATGCTTGTTTGGCAAACAGAGGAGGATTTACCCGTTACTGACTTGGTTGTGATGCTGTGGTAACTTTGCTGTTTGACCCCGGGTATCATTTTACCCTTATAATGGTCAGTCTGTGCCTTACTTAGTCTAACGATCATTTGGAATAAATCGATGAATGTGAACTTCATTTCATTTTGTAATTTGTTTTTTCGTCAGTTTCATTAGGTGACTTTAATAACACTTAAAAATCAAATATCCCCTACTTTTTTTGAATAGTATATTTAACAATGAATAGAAGCACAATGTTGAACGATTCATGTAAATTTTCCAGCTATGTCTGGTTTGCATAGGCGCATGAAAGTACATGTATATACATCTACAGCTGTACAGGCAGGGTGTTATTTGTGTGAGATTTGTATTACACCACTATGTAAATATTAGCTAAACGTTGACAATTAGATCTACTGAATAACTAAAGACATACCTGTCACATTGTTTAATACATTTGTAGCCTTTAGTGCATTTTTATTCGTTTATCAGACTTTAGGTGGAAATAATATGGCCATGAGGAAGGAGCGCTTATGGCTAAAGTTGTTATGAAATATAGTATGCCTGGTTCATATCTGATCCAGTTCCATAAACCAACATTCATCTAAAAACGCGCGAATTTGTTGTCTTCGCATACAGTTAATATTGACACTTGGAATTTAAAACAATGAAACAGTCGCGTAGGCCAAATATTCTTAAAGAAAACACCACGATGTTGGTACGGTCCATTATGGACTATTCAACTTGTAACTTTTCTGTTATGTCTTTGGGTTTCTTTAATCTAGAGTCTAAAACTCCTAAAACTTCAGCCCAAGAAACTTTATTTAAAAACAACAAAGAAAATGATCAAAACGTCTTTATAAAACTTTGTTTTCCATTGTCTATTTCATATTTTTTATGTAAAAATTGAGAGATTATATCACGCGTGTTTGCTATAGGTTACAAACCCATGTCAATAATTTATGTTCGTAGTGCCCATCATCTTCATAATATCAAGTCATCGTAACACGAGTTTTATAACTTGACCGCATTTAGGGCTATGAGTTACATATTACGTTCTAAATGTCTGGTAAAGAAATTAAACATGTTAAGAAGTGATGAAGGGAGGAGTTTTCCCATAATAGTGAATATGTTTCCGTCAACTGTTCGTCAATTGCTTGAAAAATACTAAACTTCCTTAGACAATTTTCTCAACACGGATAATATTATACCTGTATGATATTACTTAAAGTGTTATCACGTGATATATATTACACTCACCAACAAACCCCAAGGAAGACTTTGCACCTCCTTGCCATTTAACCCGACAAACAGACCAGACCTACGGAAATGACCCATATAAATACATATGTACATCCTATGTTTATTTGTTTAATGTTCGTCCGTTTGTTTTGTGTGCGCTTAGTCCAGTTTTATATTTGTGTGTTTATTAGTATAACGGTTTCGTCAAATGTTCGTGTCGTCCAGTATTATTTTTGTCTTTTCTTGTTTATGTATATATTACATGACGTAAAGTTCACGTCTGTATGTTAAATGTATATTACCCGTCCTTAAGTGTTTTCTATGTGCATATATACCAATCCTTTAACTTTTTTGCTAATCATGTTGCATTGCCTATTCAATCTCTGTCACGCGTGGTTAGCAATCATAAAAACCATGGGTATATAGGTCTAACAGGGTTTTTTCTCAACTTTTTAATAGTCATTAATATATGAAGATCGACCGTGGGCATTTTTTTATAGCGTAAAACTTTTTCCAATCTGTGTTCCCGATTGCCTCTGCTGTCAAATTTGCAAGTAATATGGTGTGCGAAGTATAGCTTGGGTTCCCAAACTTTATTCCAAGTTACACACATGAAGGTAAATTTAGACGGACACTTTCGTTTGCTGTCAGGTTGATCTAAAGTAATTAGTTGTCGACGATTTTGTAATCTTGTGAGCACCGTGGCACTTTAAATTCCTTCTGGTTGAAAAGACACATTAATACGGTATTTTGATGGTATGGGCTGCAATATCACCAGCATCATCAATACGCTTTGGGGATGGGGGTCCTCATAGCGGTGGTTAGTCACTGCGCTATAGTGGTTTTCTTGGTTTGCTCCCAGCTACTAATGTCCCAAATCATCTATAGGATACTTCTCTTGTGTGACCCGAAGAAAATCCCCGAATCCTACTTCAGTGTGAAAGATCTGCTATTATTCTGCGCACCTCTCTTAGTAAGGCATGACTATACATTTTCACTTAGATGGGAATTTGATGTAATGTCCGACTAACTAAAAATATCACCTCTCTAGACGACTAAGGATTTTGAGTTAATTTTCGCTCACGACGCTGTTTCATCTAGTACATGCTTGGATATATGGATATCCATTGTGATCGTCAGGTCGTCCATGAAAACACTGTTAGGCGGTTTTACTATTTAATTTGTCTAATATTAGTGGCTGTCATCAGTCTTCTCTGATCACCATTTCTCCTGAATATAGAAAGATATTTCAGAATTTAACGTGAAACATCCTGTGATATACACACAATAACATTTTGTCTGTTTGTCAGTGCTCGGTGTATACCGTTTGTTTTTTCATTACACAATCACATGAACCCTTCTATATTTTCAGGTGCAATGGGAACAAAATGGTGGCAAGTGCGGTGTTTGTGGCGACCCATGGCAGGGACCACGTGACAATGAACCCGGAGGAAAGTATGCCAATGGAATTATTGTTCGAAAATATAAAGTTGGGCAGGATATAACCGCAGTTGTTGAGTTGACAGCAACTCATAAAGGCTACTTCGAATTCAAGCTCTGTCCCAATGATAATCCATTTCAAAAGGTCAGCCAGGAATGTTTAGATGGCCACACCCTGATAGTAACGAGAACGGGAAACACCAAATTCCCAGCTCCAGACAAAGCCGGAAAAGTAGAAGTCAAGCTGCGCTTACCTAAAGATGTAAAATGTTCAGCGTGTGTGTTTCAGTGGAAATATAATTCAGGCAATAGTTGGGGTACCTGTAATAATGGTCAAGGCGGTATAGGTTGCGGTGCACAGGAACAGTTTTATGGATGTGCCGATGTTGCCATTGGTTACGACGAAATCGTTGTAGGAAAAGTTCAAGAAAAACGACCTTGGTACTTTGAACCACCAGATTCCAAATGGCACTGGGGTATCGTTGGCCGTGCTGACGACAATTTTATATCCGCGAGTTCAAATGTAAAAAGTTCTTCTTTGACTGTTTTTGTTGGTCTGTGTGTACTTTTGAAGTGTCTGACCTTTTTGTTATAGGATTGGGATCTTATTGCTTTCAGTATTATTTATAAAAGAATATAGAGTTAATATCACGTAGCTATATAGTACATTGCTTAAGCAATAACTTGTCACTGTTTGATATTGTGTTCACTTCTATGAATGATGTACAAGGTATTATACCGTTAAACGAATATACTGATATACGGAACAACATACAGATATGAAGCTTAATATAGGACTATTTGCTTACTTTCATTTATCTTAGTTCATAAAGCTAACCGTTTGGTATACTTCTATGCGTTTTGCTAGGTGGTCTAACCCAAACATAATCCAGAAAATGCTATTTGTTGTCTGAACATCATGGATTACAAATTACAATGCTCAGATCTACTCTAAATACAAACTGCACGGTCTTTATTTATCAGAAATTGTATTTTCGCTGCCTACCCAATATAATATTATATCTTGATATATCCACACAACATCTTTTAATTCAATCCCAAGTTTCTCAATATTTGGTTTTATGTGCTTACTATATTATAATAGCCATTTTTTACAACTTGAACTTAATAATGACATCTTTACACAAACTACAACTAAAAACTATATTTTGTGATATTATATATATTTTAAAGAATAACTTTAATTGTTGTGTAAATATAATATATAATTTTATTTGTAGACCTTTGTTAATATTGTTGAATGCAGCAATGCAGATTACCATTTTAATTGTATTTTTTCTGTAAAACTTTACCATATGCTCGAAACTGAAAAAAAAACTTCAGTATAGTCTATAGTGCCAGATGTAATATTTTTTAATAACTAACTGTACATGACTTTTGTATATATTATACCGTTATTAATACATGTAGATCTAAAACGAACTTTGATAAATATTTAAGACAAAATGGAACTATTTAGCCTCATCTGTAGATTGTAGACTTGCTTTCATGGGCTTTCATGTCTCGCCCCCCCCCCCCCCCAAAAAAAAAATGTTTCCGTAATATTCATACAAACATATGTTAATTTTTTATTTCTGTGGTTACGTATGCAATGCGGGGTATGGGAATTTTGCAGCGCCGGATTAAGCTTGCATCCGGCACCTGGCTGAAAATGTCACGGGTCTTTTCCAGTCACTTTCCGCCACACTCACACTTAGTGCAATCTGTAGGTCAGTATGGTAGATAGATTTATTTATTTGGCACAAACATATACAACATATATAATGACAAATTGATTCCTTGTACCAATTTATTTTTAGGAGCAGTCCAGTCAGTCCCCCCACCCCTTTAATTCAGGTCGGGAATTTTGTTTGTCTGGACAGCAGGCCTTTCCGCCCACCCCTGACAAGTCAAGTCCAGTGCCCTAACTTCTATTTGTATGTTTGTATCGCCCCAATTATAATTAACCCTTTTAACTACATATTAGTTCGTAGTGTATACTCGCCCGATAGTGTAATACCCCTGTCAGGCCGGGGTGGCGTCTTTACTGCGCTGCTACGGCGACGGAAAATGGTCTCAGAGCGCGTCAAGATCGCCATAAGCGTGGTAAAAACCTGGTGGAAACGCCAGGTATCATGCTGTGGTCTCCATGGTGGCCAATGATCGCCGAGGAAAGCTGTGAAAACGCGATGGGGTCGCGAATGTCGCGAGACAAGTGTGGTAACATCTCCATGAACGTAGTACACGCGCAGTACACACTTCTAGTCGTCTTCAGTTGGATGGACGAATGGTTAGCACGTGCGCACTGTACCAAAGGTCTGTCATTGAGTGAACTGGCGTAGTTTCGATTCCCCGGTTGTACGTGACAAGGAGTCGGGTCGCCTGTCCAACCTCGTGGGTTTTCTCCGGGTATCCCGGTTTCCTCCCACTTCTAAAGACCAAGCGAATTATTGAAATAAAATTGTTAGTCCTGAAATGACCTAGTTTGTGTTGTGTGGACGTTAAACCCCATTTCTCTCTCTCTCTCTAGGCGTCTTCACCACGACACTCGCGTATCTGCCACGACCCCCACCAACGTTCAGAGTCCTTATGACGTTGTCATGGCGATGTTACAATGAATTCACCACGATTGCACCACATCCACACGGGGTTCCCAGTGCGCCTGTGGCGATCGTATGGGGTTCTTACTGCGTTTATGGAGTTCTTAATACAACCACGAGGCGACCATGCTTTTCATATGCCACTTGCTATAAAAATAGGTGAGTCAAAGTTCATACACTTTTATAGTCGCCCTGATCACGTGGTAGAAACACTCGTGTAGTCGCGATACACGTGGATGACGTGTGGTAAGAACCCCATGAGCTTTGTTAGAGCGCCGCGGGTTCGCCGATGATCGCCGTTGCCAAGCTAAAAGATCCCAATAGAAAGCGCGGAGAAGTCGCGACGGGCGCGCCGTGCGAACGCGGTATACACTATAATCGCACAGGTCGCGGTAAGAACGCGACTTTTTTCAAGTTTGTAAGTTTTTGGGACACTTTCTCGCGTTTGTCGGCGACCTTGTGCATTTTCTGGTAGCCTTACGGTCACAGCAGCGCATTTATGACCCCAACCAATATGACGGGGGAGTAATGAGACCTTCTTTCAGAGCTGAACTAATGAGTTCGAAACCACCCCACGTACACGGTACTGAAAGGTCTTTAAAGATTAAAAAAACAAAACAAACAAAAAACTTTAGTGTGGTTTTCCTGGGAATCCAATATTGCATTTACTGCTGCATACCAGGATTTGTGTTATATAACTATTATGGATTAAAATATAATTTTAGAAGCCTGCAACACTGTCGGATTTAGATGAAGAGCTATAGACTATTGCACTAATCGTAATCCCCTACCCTCATTCGACTTAGGAAGATGAAAGTGTGTTGTAAACACAAAGGAACAAAGCCGAGGATGATGGATGTTTAAGACAACAATGTATGTAAGAAGGGCTTAAAACAGTGTCAAAAATATTATTCACGTTGACAACAGCACTCCCCCCCCCCTCCCCAATCCCCCAGATGTTGAGGCCGTAGGCTTCAGTCTGCCAAGCCTATACAGGTAAATCCGGCACTGCTACATAATAATAGTGCAGAATTTTGCAACAAGACGCACTAATTGTTTTTAGTGGATTTCATTTGCTTAAACTTAAGCCATGGTTGAATTCTATTACCTCGGATTCTCAACTAATATAATCAAATATAATTTTAAAAATTGGTTATGTGGTTTGACTACAGATCGGGTCAGGGGCTTTTATGTTGAATCCACCTGTGCCAGCTTCACCAAAGCTATTTAAGAACATACCTTCACCAAATTGGCTTAATGTTTGTTGACTTGTATGAACATAATGTACTGACTACAATAAAACAAAACCACAGTAAGAACTAACAAAGCCTGTATTCCAAACCTTTATACAATGCAAATATTTATAAGTGACATGTTGATTTTACGTGTAGATTGTCGTCCACTTGTCTCTCATAAAGACAGAATACAATAACTGGTCAAGTTTCTACATATTCTACAACATTCCTATCTAAAAAATAAGTTGGACTAGTTTGTTAAAGAACCTTCAATGGATCATTTGGAAAAGGCAGAAACACCATGGCCATTTATTCCTGGGAATAACATACTTTCCAAAACATTACATATTCTTATTAATAAGGTCATTTTTGATGTTGTGGATCAGATAATACAGCAATTGATTGGTCTTCCAATGTGACCTGTTCCTGTTCCATGTATATATGGCTAATACCCATTTATATCAATAACTTAATTTCAGAAATTAAATCCAGAATTGATTATAAAGTAGGTAAAAGTTTAAATTATACATTCTGATACATTAATTGATGACCTAACACCTATCAATAATAATGGAACTTTCAACAAATATAAGTATGAAATCTATTCCCATAAACTATTTATGTTAAATGTCACCTTTCCTAAATAAATTATTTTTAATTAGACTGCTGAAAATTTATTTTTGTACAGGCAACATCTGCTAGGAGCAGGCTATGGCACTATGTACAGTAAGTAGATATTTAACATGAATAGAAGAGAAGGCTAAGTATAAAAACACAGCAACAACTAAAAATATAAATGCAACAATATTTATTTTCAATTACAATTCAGCAAGACTATAATAATAAAAATCAGCAATAGTTATAATATCGCAAAAATACAAAATAAATGTTTTCAGTAACAAGAATATAATAATAACAATGGACGGAACTTATTTATGTATAAATTACATAAAAATAATCTTTGTATAATTTTTCTTACAATTGAGCATTGCAAAACAATCTCTTATCAATAACACAGAAATATTATCATTAAGGAATTTTTCACTAATAATACTGATATCTCATTCAATGTATTTCTTATCTTTGGATAGAACATGTCTTATATTTTTTTATAAACATTAACATTTAAGCCCTATCTATTTGACAGGGTAAAAGTGTGACCAAGGTAAACTTAATGTGTTAATTTGTGTGGGTATTTGTTACATTTTAATTTCTTTGCAATGTTGATAGATAACTATTGTGTTCAAAGGACAACAGTTTAATACAAAAATGAAAAGACAATTAGTAATCAAACTCCTTAATCTTTCAAAAGAAAAATTAAATCATATAGATGAACCAAAACAAATGTTAGCTTCTTTAATAATAAAAATATAGAAGACATATTGTTTTTTTAGGAACGGGGCTGAACATTGCATCATCAAAATTTTCAAAATAATTTGTGGATATCCTGTGGTATGTTTGAGAAGCCTGCCAAAGTCATTTGCTTAAATTTTTTTGGGTGTGATTTAAATATTGTCAATTAAATTAAGTTTCGTATGTTAATTGGTTTATTGTAGTATATCTGTCTATATTTATAATATAAGGGTTACAGATAAAGCCAATGTTGGCAATTTAAGCAAAAAAACAAAACTTAAACCAACCTCTGACAAAAGAAAATATAAATAGTATGATCCCCATGGAGCACATGCTTTCAAATGTGCCAACACAAATTCAAACAATAAATCAGTACATACAAACAGTTTAACAACACTCATTAATGTAAACTTGGAATGCTTAGAATTGGTAATGATTGATAAAGATAAGTATCACAAAATTTATCAGATTATGTTAATGCTGCTAGTTTTATTATGTTTTCAGCTCCGCCTACAGCAAACAATCTCCCACCAAGAGCACTATCTAATGCTTGTACAGGTTTCTCCATCTTAATACTACCTAAACTCTGTAATATAATAATAGCCAAATATAAATAGATGACCCTCATTAATTACTTGCACATTAATTTATAAAGCATCAAACAATCAAATTCATTATCACTCTGCTTAACTTGAGCAGAGAATGCTCATTATCAAACTAAATGTTTTGATGTAATTCCAGTTACACCCCAGCTGTATCACCCTTGATCAATTAGAATCAGAGATATTGTTTTCAAATCAGTTTGCTTGGGTTAATGTCTAAGCAGAATATGCCCATCATTTTAAACTCAGACAAGACATTTGTGTAATGAACATCTACAACCAGTTGGAACATTTTACCTTAATTAGAAGCAGAGTTATGGTATCCCAAAAAGTGTGCAGGACAAACAAACCCTTTCCAATAGTCCCCTGTTTTCTTCGAAAGGTTGGGGACAATAAAAGTATCACGAGATAAAATTATAATTTCATAGAACAAATCTGGTTAATTATGTGCAGAACTCTCTTGGAACTTTTTGTTGTAGTTCCAAACAACTATATCGAGCTGTGTAGTATTCAAAGAAATACTAACAACATATTGAGTTACAATAGGGTTCTGACTCACGAAACATTGAACAATCTCAGCAAGTTTTAAAGAAAGGGGAGAGTAAAAACACAGGTGATAAATAGAATCATATATTTGATGTGGAAGAGTAGGGTTGATGCTAATCAGTAGGGTTCATCCATACAATCAATCTGTTTGAACCAGAGTTTATTACATTTTGATGACAAAGGCTGAAAATAACCGATCAGTTTCATCAGACTCCATTCTTATGACCAGTTAAACAATTCCAGCAACTTTTAAAAATTAATCTCTAAAACTCTGATCTGTTGAGGGATTACTAGGTCTCGGTGACAAGGGCAATAATTCTGAAAATACTTGATTTGTGACTGTTTCCATTTAGTCTAAGAGAAGCTGGGGGGAAAAAAGAAATCACTCAAAATGCTTAACTAACCATTTCTGAAACTTTGTGAAAATCAGTTAAAAACTTTACTGTACTCTCTCTCTCTGGGGTCAGAATGACCATGGACAAAAAAAAAAAAAAAAGGTCCATGGTATGACTAGTATGAGTATTGCAGTATATGTTATCAACGATCATAATTATTTCAGTGACAATAAAAATGGAATTACTTTTGGGAAAATACTCAAAAATTTGCTGAAAATTTTTTAACAACTTAACTCTATACAGTGGGTATGAGCATGACAAAGTTCATTATCAATGATTATATGTGAGGGGAAATAACTCTGTAAAATACTTAAAGGTGATAAAGATGCATCATGTAAATATAGATGCATTATCTAAATAAAGAGCTAGTAGATAACGAAAATATTGAAAAATTCATTCAAATTACTTTATTCTGAGCAAAGTTATGACTGTTTGAAGTTTTGGAGCATAAAATCTCGATTAATCATTTTATTGTTAAATTTTTAAATCTCGCAGCTGTTCTAATGCATTTGAATCTCGGTCATCCGATAGTCTACAGAGTTGATTATACACTTGTTATATGAATACATGTCTAAATAATATTTTACATAACATTTGAAGCAAAAATAAAGACCTGCAATAGGCAGATTTAGCTCTTACATAATGTTTCTTTAACCATTTCTGAAAATTTGAGAAAATTAATTGAGACCTGTCCTCTCTGGGAAGAGATTATGTTTCAGAACAGTAACATACTTTGATCTACAAGTTAGTACAAGCAATCAAGAGCCATAACTCTGTAAAAACTAGTGAGATAATGCTCAAAATCAATCTATTGAAAAAGTTTTTTTTTACCCAGATACTCACTATCCATGAAACTTTGATTAAAAATCGATAGAGTGAATGCAAGAAACTGGGGACGGACATGAGGGCATATCTAAATATGAAAAACTTACAGTGCCATTTGTGATATTAATTGCTTGAGCACTATTGGTTCCACTACCTCCTGCTAATATAACATCATTATCACAGAACTGAGTACAGTACAGAAAGGCACCATCTGGTGCATCAGGATATTCAATATTCTTTTCTAATTTACCATCTGTATAATTCCATATTTGTAGAGCATGATTTGATGTCCATGATCCCGTTAATATCTTTAATCCCTGAAATGCATACTCATCATTACATTGCAGTTTTTATTAGAAAAATTATGGAAATAAATCATCTATATGGTAAATTATTAACAGATCTGCCTAATTGTTTATTAAAATTTCTTTTGTTATTCATCTAAACTAATGAATGAACAATGTCATAGTACAAACACATTCTACAATACATGTTTTAAATTCTCTCATTCTCCCGCCAGGAAATGTAATAGATGTAATTTAAAAGAAATTTGTCAAAACATTAATCAAAGCTTTGTTTTTTTTGCCCTACATGTATGTGAAATTTTTCTTTTGCAGAATATAAGGCATGAGAATATAGTATATTAAATAATTTTACCTTCATATCTAAACTATCTCCACAGATATGTGGGCCCCAGATAGTTCTTTTCACACCATCAACTGATCTAGAATCCCATATCTACAAAAGTTACATAAATCATGTACCACAGTTATCTCCCTTGACGCACTATTTTTAATGTATAATTAAAGTAAAGATGTGAAATAAAAATCAAATGGAAGAGATTTCTAATTAAATAATAAATGTAAGTACCATGATTAAGATTTATCTACTCCTAAAATTGATTAACTGTATGGGGACAATGTTTTATGAACAGTTGCTTCAGGTTCATTGAATGAAGTGTTGACTCACTAACAAGGGGGTACCAGGTTTCATTTAGGTGTTGCCTTAGAAAGTTCCTCAGGATTTTCCACACAGGTTTCTAGTTGTTAGTGATACAGGATAGGGGGCCTGGCAAGGAATAGAACCTAGTTGCTCAGATGGTATGAAAAACCAAGGTGTAAACAGTCTACAGACCAGTAAAGTTGACAAACAAACTACAGGGGCTCAACTTTATCTCCAGTGATAGAATTTGCATATATATATTGCAGACAGTCTTTTTTTCTTTTAAATTTATAATATCAGATTATACCTTTAGATGATTTTCCCAGCCTCCAGTAATAAATATATGGTTGTATTCTGGGTGAAATTTTAAAGCAAATACTCTTTGTGAGCATCCCATACAAGACATTTCATTGGATGGTTTTGAATTATTGCAACCATCATAGGTTCTTAGTAACTAAAAAGACAAGAATCAAATAAACCCATTAAGTAAATTGAAACTAAATGATCTTTAAAAACAACACAACCGAGAACGGAAAGTTATAACCAGCGGTTGCCAGGTATAAGATACGCCCACATTTTGCAAGAGATGGATAGAGAAGGAGCTAAAAACAAAGCGATTTTTCGTACAATCAGGGGCCATATTCCAGAAAGTTATGGTCTGGTGAAATGTGCAAATATCGAAAGAGACTGAGATTTTTGGGATATATTTAAGTTTCATCAAAATCGGATAAAAACTGTGACCTCCAGAGGGTCCACAACCTTTGTATTACATACTTTTACACAATTTGCGTAGAAAGAGCGGGCATTTTGTTGGGCAGTGAAGTTTTGATTTTCCCAAAATTCTATTTCAACCTTCATTATGGTGGAATGGTGATATATTTAAACGTTTTTCAAAATCAGATAAACATTATGACCTCAAGAGAATCCACAAGCTAAAGAACAGGGGCCATCATCCAGAAAGTTGCAGTTCGATATGTGCGAATATAGAAAGGAACCAAGATCTTTGGGTTATAAACATACATTTTAAGTTTCATCAAAATTGGATAAAAATTGTGACTTCTAGAGGGTCCACAACCTTGTTATTAATACTTCTGCACTATTTCTGTACAAGGAGCGACCATGCATATCAAGTTTTATCAAAATCGGATAAAAACTGTGATCTCTAGAGTGTCCACAAGCTAAAAACGTGATTTTTCATACAAACAGGGGCCATAATCCATGAAGTTTCAATCTGATACATGCCAAATTGCCAATATCGATAGGAACCAAGATCTTTTGGAGATAAACCGATATTTAAAGTTTCGTCAAAATCGGATAAGAATTGTGACCTATAGAGTGTCCACAAACAAATTGTGGACGGACGGACGACAATATACGTCCACATGAAAATGTGGGTGTATAAAAATTGTGACCTATAGATAGACTGTCCACAAACAAATTATGGACGGACGAACAGACGTCCGGAAGGACAGGGGCGACGGGATAATACGTTCACATGAAAATGTGGGCGTATAAAAAATTAAATGTTGATGTTTTATCTAAAGGGATATTCCATAAACTATATAATATAATTATTACCTCAAGTGTTTTTGTATCATAATATCTAACAGATAAATCTTTTCCAGCAGTGCAGAAGTTATAACCATCTAAACAAAAATCTAAACAGTTGATTTCATTCCCCTTTTCTGAAATAACAAATATCATCAACAAATCGCTAAATTCAACAATATTATTTTTTTTATTCATTGAGGGAATTACCTTCTTATCTTCTCTTATTGCAAATCTGTATTAGTTTCATCTATGCTCAACCTGAAACGTAAATAATCTCCCAACAAGCATTATATAGATTAATGATAGAACTGGAAATATTATTCAATATTCTTACCAGATATTATTTCTTTACATGTTCCATCCTCTATATTACAAGCATAGACTATACCATCGGCAGTACCAGCCATTAATACAGTTGGATCTTTTGGGTGATAACGTAGTGTCATGACAGGTAAACCACCATGTCGAGACTTCCGCAATTCTTTAATCAATTGACCAGTTTTCGGTGATAAAAGCTGAAGCAAAAAAAAAACATTCTATGTAATAATTTGTGCTTAAAGCTCAAAAGCATTGGGATTTGTGAGGGTAAAAGTGGTGGAGTCTATTATTGATGCCAAATTTTGATAACAATTTTTTTTTTTCATCGCAGAAAAATCATAGTTTCAAAACAAACAGAAATACCTTTAAACACTGCCCTGCACTTTTGGAGACACCTAAGGTCAAAATTTGGGGGGGTGGCAGTTGTAAAATAATACTGTACTTGTTGTAAAAAAAATAATAAATGACTTACAAGTATTCCACCATTACCAGTACCAACAGCTAGATATTGACCATTATAATTATACTGTAGACAATATGTACCACCACTGTAACTATCTAAACTTACTTCTTTTAGTAATTCTACTTTACTAAATGTACTAGGATATTCGTTACCTGATAATAACCAAACAAAAAATATTTTTAATGTTCTAATAAAGATAAAGCTAGTTTTAAGAAATAACTGATTTTGTATTCCACATGATCAACACAGTAAGAAATCTTTATAAAGAAAATATTTATTGAGCTTGCCCCATCAATAATTGAAATAACACATCTGATCAATCCACTTCAATACTTTGTTTTAACTGGAATCAAGGAAGTTTAAACCTTTCTAAACTTTTTTTTCCATTTACCATACATTGTGGAGTAGGTCATAGGTTCTTATCCTTTCTCCAGAAATAAGGTTTGATATGATAAAGATGAAGCTCTTTTTGATATTGATTTAGTGAGGTTAAAAATATTTTCATGTGAAAAATTGAATTAAAATATGACATCACTTTCATATTTGTCACATTTCCAGTATTGTTCATTATAGAGATCATTTTGGGACTAACATATATATTATATCTTTATATTTCAACAATTCACTTGCATGCATTGATCTTTGAAGTGGGAGGAAACCAAAGTACAACTTTACACCTTTGTCATATAGACCCTACAAACCTGGAAACAAACCTATCATTTGCATAACTAGGTACTATGATCGGCCACCCACCTCCATCCTATTATACAACAAAAGGGAAAGGGGGAATCGAAACCAAGCCAGTTGACTCATGATACAACGTGCACAGGCAACCATTCAGCCATCCACCCCTATATACCATATTAAAAATTACTAATATAATTGAGACACTAACAAGGCTATCGTTACATAATAAAATTTTACTAACCTTCACTTATTGATTGTCCAGCTACTAAAGCCTGTTCTAATTGTCTTCTAGCCATTTTATACAACTGTCTTCTCTCTTGCCAGACTCTTGTCTCTACCTTCCTTGAATCTTATAAATGTTTTCTCTTATCTATAAATTACCACACAAGAAACTTGTCAAACCAGTTTTCTAAAGAATATAATCAATTCTGGGGAGATCTCCTGAAAGATTATGTCACCAACAAAATCAGATTTTCAATTGAAACTAAAGAATGCGACAAACCTTGTCAATATTTTACACTGATCAATCAATATTAATTTCCAACAAAATGGCTTCAAGAAAATCCTTTTAAACATGTCTATTGATATCAGGTAAATCAATTTAATAGCATGCAATAATTAACATCAAGTATAATAAAAGACCAAGGATTGCACACAGAAATAACCATAATGAACTAAAGAATAGATTTTATTATTCATTTAATGTTAAAAGTATTCTGAGCAGGTCAATTATCTGAGAATGACTGTAAGTCTAATGTATTAATAATACTCTAACATATAATGAAAGTTTGAAATAGCCATTGATCGATTCACATGCAGTTTAAATTGGATCTATGGAAATGACAATAAATCAGTTCATAGAAAGAACCACAATATAATTTTTAAATCCAATTAATATTTTATAGCTTTATTGAATTCTACTTCTACCGGTAGCTTGCATGTAAAAGATAAAACTAAAAAAAAAAATATTAAATGAAGGAAATCCTTACAATTAATTTTACATACATTTAAATGCATTGAAGTATTTCTATTTATAATATTTCATGCATAATTTTTAGTATACTTACAATACTTATTTGCAATTTTATAAAAACATTACTTTTTCTCAAACAAACTATACTCTTTGGTGGTAATGACGATATACTAGCTGGAATACACTACTATACCATATATTTAACTACACTGCCTAGAAGAGACAGGTGCTGAATAATAAAACAACAGTAATGTCACTAATCTAATACCTAAATCACAAACTATATAGGTAACCTGCCAATATTAATGGCTTGTATAAATATTAAGATAGACCATTACTACTGCCCATCAATAATCCATTGTTAAATATGACTATTTGGCATGCGATTAGAATATATCAGTGGATTACCAGTTAGTTGACCTTATGACTTCTTGACTACAGATTAAAAAGGAAAACAATAATGCTCCAGATTTAATACCTGTAATAGCTACTTATTTTATTTTAGACTCTCAGTTAACAGTAATGCAATACTGACCATATGCCAGAATGTATTAATATTCCTAAATTGTTGTAAATTGGAGGTCAAAATTTACTTGAATCTGTAAATATTTTTGTAATGAATGGAAAAAAAAACCATAACTAAATTATTACTGAAAGCCCCAACAATCCAACATACCAGAATAAAAGTTACATTCAGAGTCAGTTTAGGGATTGAACTGATCAATAGTACTTTATTCAAAAAACTTTTCTAGTCCACTCTCCCTCATTGTGTTCCAAAGGCTTGGCGAATCAAATTGCTTATCTCTGCTTACCCTAAGCAGAAAATGCTCATCATCGAACTTGGTCAAAGCATTCACCTAATGAGAGAGAGAGAGAAATGGGGTTTTATGTTCACTTGACACATACTAGGTCATTTCATGACTAACATATGGTTCAATTTTATTTCAATAATTTACTTGCGCATAGGGGTCTTTAGCAGTGGGAGGAAACTCAAGGACCCGGAAAAAAAAACATGAGGTTGGATAGGCGACCACACTCCTTGTCACGTACTAGCGGGAATCAAAACCATGCCACTTAACTCAATGACAGACTTTCTGATCCAACGCGCCAACCCTTCGGCCATCCATCCCCATTTCTCTTAATGTACAATCATATCAAATTTAGGACATTCAAAACTTTACATTTGTTTCTCTTCATTTCTGTTTTCATACTGCCATCTTTATGTGTAATACTACAGATGAATCCAATCTATTCTTTTTAAAGGTTCTTTTATATTAGACATACTTTATTCATTAAAAACAAACTGTTTACATTAAATCATTTAAATTTTTTTACATTTTAAACTGCATGTGACTGATCTCATTTGCTGTGCCTTTAGTTCAGCTTGAAATTAAAGAAATATCAATGTAATTCTTATCCATCAAACTTAATAGTAAATGCAGGAGATTCGTGCAACACATAAAACAAAGAAACAATTTATCCAGAAGACAAACTAAAGGACAAGCCACATAGCTAAGACAGACATTAAGTAAGTAATAAATTATTAAAGCACTATCCAATCATTTAAACAGCCATCTCATGTTACCTAGAGATTAATATATAAAATAATTAGTAGGATCAATCGCACCTCATATTAGTTAAGAAGTAGTATCAACAGATATGGCGGCAAATGTTGAATCACATTTTCCTGAAAATCACTATTATTCAACCACTGTTTTGAATTCACGACTACTATACAAGTTATTCTATTTTGTAATTTAGATATATTTTCAATGGATAGTGATAATCTATAGTACCATATAGTCAAAGTTATTAAGACTTTATAGGATTACCAAAAATACTTTACAGGATTACCAAAAATACTTCAATTTTTCAAAATAACTATTTTTTTAAAATATTATTCACTATGTTCCTGATTAATCTGTTCAATCATTTTTTTTCTAAATATCATAGATCTGTATACTCACAAAAATTTATTTGAAGAATTTAAAAATTATCAACATATCTAGTTGCATATTCCAGTTTTAAAATATCAAAATACTATTCTGCTCTGTATGTCATTTATAGAAATGTTTTATCATTATATTAGCCACATGAACTTACATGCCAAACAGAGGATCAGGTTTATTCAAATAAAGATAATATCTCACTTAACAAGTGCCTTCATGTGAACAACACTCATTGTCAAGTATATAATACTGTATTCAATACCTTAAAATAAATCAAACAGGTATATTGTGCTTACATATGTATATATCTCAGCTCTATTCAGTCTTGTTCAGACTTGCACTATATCTACAATGGCAATTGGCAAAGACTATAATAAAGCATTGAATCAGTATTGATACTAATGCACACTATTTAATTTTTTGCCAGGGACAATGTCATACCCCCCCAAAAGGTCATAAGTAGTCATAACATAGTATGCATCAACCTTCTTGTCAAATAAATTTTTAATGGTACAACATATGAAATCAACAAGCTCCTATCAACATCAATAGAAACTACAGACCCGAGAACCTTAAAGAAGATGGTCCATGTAATTTCATATAATTCTAATAGATAGATAATGATTAAAGCGCCTCAAATATATTTAGGCACCCTCCCATATCCACAATCTTGACCATACTTTTATGGTGTAATGGTGATATATTCAAACTTTTTTTTTAAATTGGATAAAAATTGTAAACTCTAGAGGGACCACAAGCTAAAAGCGTGATTTTTCGTACAATCTGGGGCCATAATCCAGAAAGATAGTCTGATATGTGCAAATATGGAAAGGAACCAAGATCTTTGGGTTGTAAACATACATTTCAAGTTTCATAAAAATCAGATAAAAATTGTGACCCCAGAGTGGCCACAAGCTAAAAACTTGATTTTTTGTACAATCAGGGGCCATAATCCATGGAGTTACTGTCAGATACATGCCAATTTGTATACCTCCACATGAAAATGTTGACGTATAAAAACGGATAAAAATTGTGACCTGTAGAAGCAGGGGGTCCACAAGCTAAAAACGTGATTTTTCGTACAATCAGGGGCCATAATCCTGGAAGTTGGGATCCGATATACGTGAATTTCAAAAGAAACCAAGATCTATGGGATATAAACATATATTTTAAGATTCATCAAAATCGGATAAAAATTGTGATGTCTAGAAGGTCCACACCCAACCTTGGTATATACTTTTACTCTTTTGAGTACAAGGAGTGGCCTTTTTCACTTTTTGTCGGGTAGTTTCAGCCCGATTTTCATGAACTTCGAACTCAACCGTCATTATAGTGTAACAGTGATATATCTAAATGTTTTTCAAATCGGCTAAAAATTGTGACCTTTAGAGGGTTCACAAAATGTAAAAAAACACAATTATTCGATAAATTAGTAATTCAGAATGTTAGGGTCCGATATGTACGAATATTGAAAAAAAAAACCAAGATCTTTGCGTTATAAACATACATTTCAAGTTTCATCAAAATCAGATACAAATAGTACCTGTAAAGTTCAGCTCGAATGTAGGTCTCATTTTACTTGCCCTGCACAGGGCGAGCGTAATGAGACCTATGATCAGAGTTGAACTACCTGTCCCTATTCTGCTGTAGACGTAGAGTGTCCACAGCAAACAAATTGAGGACGGACTGGGGCGGCGACATATACAATGTAGACGTATAAAAATTAAAGGCTCAATACCACTCTAGTTGAAACTGAATAATATGTCCCAATCTTTATTCTGGTCAACAAATTGTACTATTTTACAATCCGTATAGTGCCGCTGTCAGGGCAAAATTTCCCTCATAGCACACTATATGGAATGCCCGTTTTCATTAGCCCAGTTCGGAGCAGTAGGACGTTAAACCCCATTTTATTTCATTTCAGTATAGGCCTACCGTATGTTTGAATGTTTTGACAAGATTTATTTAGCCTAAATTACAATGTTTTGAGAAGGATTTGAAGCAAAATTATGACAAATTAATTAGTTTGAATATGTGTTTAGTCCTATTATAATACCATAAATCACCCAGTTTGTACACAGGAATGTATCTTTAAATAGGCATAGGTACATGTACTATTGGATTGCTATGATAATATTAAACAAAGTCTCGGATACCGTATGTCCAATTAAATGGCATGGGTGCTAAATATTTAAGAAAAGATTTTTATTGACTCATCTTAAACAGGTAAACACAATATCAATATGCATTGCACATCGTCATAACATCACAACAATATTCATAAAATTTAGGTTACCGGTACAATAATTTACATACCTGTAATTAATTAAGAAATAGATAGATATGGTATATCAAGGTTGTGGACCCTCTAGAGACCACAGTTTTTATCCAATTTGGATGAAACTTTAAATATATGTTTTTATCATTAAGATCTTGGTTCCTTTTGATAATTATTAACATTAGTGTTACTTTGCTCTTATTTTTTGAAAAAATTTTCACAAGTTGATTTCCTTTATTTTGTTAATGTAGAATGGTAACGAACTGCTCTTTTCATTTTCTTTGTTTTATTTGTTTCGTTTGAATTTGATTTATCTGTTTAGTTTTTGATTGTTTAATTTTTGTTAATGAAGTTGATTCTTTTAAACTTCGTTTTTATTTTTGAACTCTACTTGGTGTAGGTGTTCATCAGGTAATACCTCGACTGAGTTCAATATTGAGATTAGCCGGTTGATTTGTTGGATATAAACCTTTGAATAATAGCACCTAACAGGCAGCTGTGTTTAATTATGTTCTCCTGATTTTGATTGTTTCTGTGTGTTTGAAGTATATGTTTGTGATATGCGCTTAGAAACACTTCACGTGTAATGAAGCGCTATATAAATCGAACAATAATAATAATATTCCAATTAATTGATGATACAAATTTCATCTTAAAACACCTAATTTAAAAAATTGGAAAAATTCAACTAAATGATTTGAAAAGCCTGACGTATTAAAGCTTTTCAAATGTGACTTGGATTTAAAATATTTTTGAACCCTGTGGACAAGTAAAATAGGATTTAATGGATAATTTACACAACAGGTTAGACACTAACACATCTAGTACTTAGAATAAGGCTATTTTTTATTTTCTGGAGCTGTCAAGCCAGCAAGAGTGTATTGTCCCTTTAAAAACGTGATTTTTCGTACAATCACAGGAGTCTGACCTTCTATCCGTATATTTATGCATACACCATGTCCAACCAGACAATATATAATTGTATATTGTATATTGTCTGGTTGGACATGGTGTATGCATATATATATATATATATATACGGATAGAAGGTCAGACTCCTGTGGTACAATCCATGATTCAAGTTTTGTCAAAATCGGATTAAAATTGTGATCTGCAGTGTGATAACAAATAAAATGTTACAAATGTTACACACAGGGGACTGCAGGGGAGACGACAATAGGTCCACATAGACCTACTACTATATACTACTGTACTACTTACTAACACATGAAAATGTGGGCGTGTAAAATTAACTGAGACTGAGATTCAGATTGAGAAGCCAAAGCAAGCAACGTTTTCAATGCAGGCTATAGTCTTATTACGATATATTTAGATAAGGGTTTGGTGTCTATTTCACCATTCATGTAGCAGTTATCTGAAATTATGACATGTATAAACTGTAAACGCTTCATAGATCGGCCACTGACACTTAGCAACTCAAGCAGACGAATTTTAACTCTTAATAGATCTTTCCATTTCCGTTTTATGATGTAACGGATTCACATGCGCACAAAAGCCGGAAATCGGACTTGCAAAAAGAACGAGAAATAAAAAGAGAGGATTACGGTCAAAAATAAAAAAGCTTATTATTTATTTGGCGAAACGATATAGCCTGCTATTAAAAATTCGGCATGGTTTCTGCTGACAGCTATCTTATTATTCAATTTTTATCCAGGGATATTATACTACGAAAACCTAATCGATAATCTATTTTTCTTATTTACGCCGTATTTATTTACATTTCGTTTAACGTTTTATGTAATTTTGAACCGTAGTCTGTAATTTGAAGCACCCATATGACCTGTTTTACCAATTTATACCTCGTTCGTTACAGTAAGAGCCTTGACATAATGGAGGCTATTGTGCCATGATATTATGATTCTTCGATGTTGTTGATATATATAGACAATATTAGCTGTATAACTTCCACAATAAACTAGGCATATCACAATAGACTAGTATTTACACATAGTTTTGTGTCTGTGCCGCGGTCACCCTTTTACCAGGAAGAATAAAATGGAGATTCCTTCTTAAACGCCACTTTTTTGAATGTTCTCACCGGGCATTTAAGGCTTTACAAGGTCAAAAAAGAAAACGGCTCATACAGACCTAATCAGATAGATCTTAATACTAATAATAGTCCCATAATATCGCCGATATAGCTTGTGTATTTAGTTTAGCGTACAAACTAAACAAGAACTGTTTCAAAATTACAGTCTCCTCTGACTTAATCTGCCTGATTGATATAGAATTTACTCATCACTTTCATTGACATTAGAGGCCTAGTCCTTTAATTTTGAAGAGCATACACACACACACATTTCGTAAAGATGGCAACAAAAAGAGATGTCCGAATTCTGCTTGTTGGAGATGGTAAGATTTCTAAATTAATAGTTAGTAGTAAGTGTAGGGGGACTACACCTCACGCAAACAATTAGTGAATTACACAAGACAAATCTACGGACAAGACACACTATACAGAAATCACAAACAGTCAATATACGCACATACATACAATATCAGATCAAGTGAATGGATCCGGGAGGTGGGGGGGGGGGAGTGGTGGATAGCCGAATGGTTAGCGTGTGCACATTTTATCATAAGGTCTGTCATTAAGTCAACTGGCGTGGTTTAGATTCCAGTTGAACGTGAAAAGGAGTAGGGTCTCCTGTCTAACTTTGTAGGTTCACTCAGGGTCCTCTGGTTTCCTCCCCCTGCTGAAGACCCCTATGCCCAAGCTAACCATATGTTAGTCCTGAAATGATCTAGTTTGTGTCGAGTGGATGTTAAACCCCATTTCTAAAACAACAAAAGAATGGATCCAGGGTTTCTCTTCCCAAAGGCTGTTGATGGTGCATTAAGCAACTATTAATGGAGTCTGCATTTCTGTGTTAAAAATTAGGATGGATTCCTCATTCCAAAATATTGCTCAGGCACTACAGTGGAAATTTCATATACAGTATGAACACAGAACAATTTGCTTAGTGGGCAACAATCTTTAGACTAAATTTGATCTTATTAAATTAAAAAGGTTATCTTTTACCAAATCCACTATCACTTTGATAGCAACAAGTGATTTATGTTGTGTATGTGTCAGAGTAGACTAGACTTACTGATTTTCGTGTGGCAATACTCTGAATATAAAAAAAAGTACTATGCAGTTATTTAAACATACATTATGCAAGAGCTAAATCTGCCTATTTACAGGTCTTTCTTTAGGCCTGAAATGTTATCTAGATTATTAATTAGACATTAATTAACTTATCCAGACCATAATCAACTCTAAATGTCATCGCTAGCCTGCGCTGTTTATTGGATTAGGTTCCAATTTGCTGTTTGACTTCCATTCATGATTTAATCATGAAATGGATAATCGAAACTATGTTTTTTATCGTACCGACTTTAGTAATGATGATAGAGGCTATGCCGAAAATTCAATCGCTAAAGTCTCGGTTCAGAGTGGATCAATTTGACTGAAATTTTCAGCAAATTCTCTTTACATTATCTAGTTTTTAACTATTATAGTGAAAACTGCCAGCTCTTTATCTAATTTCCCATTAATAATATTAAGAGTTATTACATCTATAAATTACATCCATTTTATTATTCAGTTGGTGTTGGGAAAACATCATTGATCCTGTCTCTTGTAAGTGAAGAATTTGCAGAAGATGTAAGTTTTAAAAACCCTTTATTACCGTTTCTGTTACCATTGTGTACAAATGGTTAAAGACTAGAAATTAATTATATAATTTGATCATACATTAAGTAGTCACCTTGCATTAATTAACACTTTTGGTTCTATTATTGTACATGGTTCTAGGAGAAAGTTTAAAATGAAAGAATTGAAAAACAAAAGGAAACCAGGGTGACTGCAAAAGTGCTGATTGTCATAAAATAAAATACAACTACTAACTTTACAGTTCTGGTTACAGTTTACAACTCAGTTAATTGCTTATAGAGTTATAGCCCTTCTTCGCTTTATTAAATCTTGCAAACACTGAAGCAACAAATATTATCGTCTGATCTGTTTGAAATTTATATGCATTGTTTAGTTAGTGAAATGATGAATCCTATCGAAGTTCAAAGATTTCTGGAGTTATGACCCTTGCTCACTTTGTAGAAACTTGTGAAGTCTTTAACAGCAAAAATCAATGTCTTATTGTAATTTTTAGTTAAAAAAGTGTATTGTTCATTCCATTGTACTGTTTATATTTTTTTAGGTTCCCTCTAAAGCGGAAGAAATCACTATACCTGCAGATGTCACTCCTGAAAAAGTTCCAACACATATAGTTGATTATTCAGGTAATTACAAGCCTGTTTTCAGTTTCATTTCACACAAAAATGATAGGTGTAATCTCAACCAATAAACTAAAACCACTCTAGTTGATTGGGTCATCCCATCTATTATTCTTCCACAAAATTTAATTTTACCAGATAATATTAAAGAGTAATATAAATTCATACACCATAAGAGTTTATTTAGTTTCTTATTATTGAAATAAGGTTGATATTCTAGCTTGTAATAGAGATGCATATATTATTGGAAAACAAATTTTTTTTTTATTTAGCGTCATCAGATTATTCACTTCAGTTTGGCAGAAATGTCAGATTACATGTATATTGCGTTCAAACTTTAAGATGATTCTTTCAAGCCATTTCTGGGATATAGACATATTTATACGGCCACATTACATTGTGGGCATAATATGCCATCACCCTGTTGGTCTATGGGTCCATCTGTCAACAATTGACTTGTAAAAGTGACATAGGCCACAGTTTTAACAGATTTTTTTCAAATTAAATACAAACAAACCATCTGTTCTGAACTTGTTTTTTCAAGATCGTTGTGAAGCGTAAGGACTGTGTGAGGATGAATCGTATTGATTTTCAAATTTGGTGTGAAGCATGGAGGTTGGAGAGGATGAACCATTGATTTGATCAGTCTGGAAATTTCTTTTCCGGAAAAGCATGTGAACATGATCCTTACCAAATTTGGTCTATCCAAGTTTTCTTCTTGGATAAGATGCTGTCTATGACTACCTTCATTTTTTCAAGACATTGCAGTAGTGTGGGCATATTTGCATCAACTTGTACAGAGATACTACAGGATAAATATTGTTTTTGATTGAAAACCAACTTTTAATTGACTTTAATCTTAACATGGCAATGAAAACACAGCATATAATGGTGTATATTTATGTATTTATGATATTATTATCGTTTGCAGCTCATGATCAGGATGATAATGTTTTGGAAGAAGAAATGGCTAAGGTGAAACTTTTTTGAAAACTTTTTACATCATGTTTGGTAGTTTGTTTATTTCTAAGAATGTTTAGTGTAAAAATAAATATGGATTCAATTATATAAGTGTTGTAATAAAGAAAAGAAAAAAGATATTGAAAGAAACTGTTGATAATTGCCAATTTTATAAACCTTCATGTATATTTTTCTACACCTACATGTGGATGTGTATTGTTGCCATTGTGTGTCTGTTCATCCTAGTTTTTTTTATGAACTCTACTTTTTACGTAGAGTTGAAATGATTTATATTTTTTATTATATCCTGACTTTTAATGCTTTTGAAAATGATACAAGACAAAGATCTGGATGTAAAAGTTGGTGATATTGTTCTGTCGATTTTTTCAAATTGTAAATTACAAAGTTATCCAACAATTTGCATTCTAATTTATGAAATGTTGCGCACACGTTAAACAGAGTTTGTGAAAGAAATGTTTGGAACTTGTTGAAATTAATCATTGTGTATCAGAAAGAACCCATATCAAACTTTTGAATGCTTTTATCTTTTCGTTCACATTTTTACTGTGAAATTAAGAATATTTTGATAGTATATTTTGGAGTTATTAAAATTTCTGATTTTGGAGTTATTAAAATTTCCGATCTTAATTTTTGAATTCTTTCATCTTTCCGTTCACATTTTCACTGTGAAATTAAGAATATTTGATGGTATATTTTGGTGTTATCTTTAAAATTTACAAGTTCTTAATGGAATTTTCAAAACATGGTGAGATTGTTCATTGGGGGAAGGGAATTACCCCATATAATTTCAAAACTTTTAGATTGTAATGTTTGAAATCAATACAGAGTATTTTCCCCACTCAGATCTGTTAAGATGCTCAGTGCAGAGTTCAGAATAGAATTTACTCTTGTGAGATTTTTTGACTTTGCTGCTGGTGGGTGTATAAAGGTGCCTGACAAGCCCACCATCTACATGTTTATTATATTAATAGGCCAGTGTGTTATGTGTTGTGTATTCGGTTGTGGATGAAGATTCTATACAAAGGGTAGGTAGAGAATATATCTACCAGTAATTGTGTAATTAAAGTGGAGAGGTCATAATTTAGACAGCATAATGTAGTAATTATGAAATAATAAGTCATATCTGCACAGATAAATCCACAAAATACTTAAAAAAATATGAGCCAGTATGACTAGAGATATGACTACTCTTTAGTTTCCCAAATATTATTGTCCCTGTCATGGTAAACTTTATATTTAGCGTAAACTTATATGTATTTGTTTAAATTATATTGTAGTTGACAACACATTGGTTACCATATATTAGAAGAACATTAGGAGATGATCATCATACACCTGTTATATTAGTAGGAAATAAAGTAGATCAAACAGATTACCCTACATTAGAGGTAATACATTATCTCATTTATTTGTTAATTCATTAAAATGGTCTTGCTGTTGATGATGTAGCTTTAAGTATACAAATAAAATGTTAAAATGTAACCTATCCTGTCTGAAAGTTACCAATCATTATAAAACTGATTGGAAATCATTGGGAAAAAATGTGTAACAGGGTTATTTAGATAAATAACTTGGTGTGTCTTTTAATTTAGATAAATAACTTGGTGTGTCTTTTATTTGTTCTTGTGGTTGCATGGTACTAAAATAACAGATTTGTTTTTAAGAATCGCTAACACAGAATCAATAATTTTTATTTCACTAAAATATATCTGTCACAACAAAATAAATGTGTGTATTCTATATATTATTAATGAGGCTTTTTTTAAAACCATTCTTTAATATACTTAATCTCACCAATTTTAGCAGCCGCCTATTAAATACTTTATTAAAATGGTTAGAGGTATTTGTTTGTTTGTAACAGGTATGTTGTATTTTCAGAGTATTTTACCTATAATGAATGACTATGCAGAAGTAGAAACATGTGTAGAGGTAAGTATATAAATAACATCTTAAATTGTAAGAATGAAAAAATGATGAATGTGATTCTATTACCATAAAATCCTAGGATTATTGTAATACCACACCCATGTGTTATGATACTTATCTCAAAGTAATGCTCACTCACTTGTGATTATAAGATATATGTATACATGTGTCTTATTAAAACAATGAGGAATATGATTCAAAATATGAAATATTGTTGTTTTGATGAAAATGACTATGATTATTTCATATAAATTTGTATTGTGAAAGTTAGCTTAAGGGGACGTGCGGGTCGAAATGATTAAAAAATGTAAAAAAAATCGATTTTGAGATTTATGTTTTTTTGGCTTCTTTGTTGTGTCCTTTATCCAAGGAAATATATATTTTTTGTCAAATAACTTATTTTTATTGTGAATAAGGTCATTACTTGGCGTGGGGGTGCTGTTTTTCTGTTATATTTGTCTGAAAATTCGGAAAAAATACGCTTTTTCTACTCATAATAACGTCCGAACCGTTCAAGTGACGGCCATTTTGAACATATCGTTCGAAAGCGCATGCACTCAACTGCGAGACTAAAATAAATTCATTGTTATTCTTCCGGTTAGATATCGGCATCCTTCGGCTGAATGCAAGCAGGACTTTTTACGGAAATTTCCTTATTAGGAGAGTCTCAAATTTTGACTCCGCGAAGCCCGCCGTCTAGCAACCCGAATGTAACTGAGTAGATTCGGTTGTCAGGTCCAGAAATTGTCTATTATGAATGATAATGCGATAATCCCGACTACTCACGATGATTTACCGTTATTTTCATAGTTCCGTACTAAAAATAGGTTATTTACGTATTTTTCACGGCAATTATGGAATTGTTCAGTAAAAGAAAAGAAGAGGAGTGGGATTAGGTCAACCATATTATTGAAAATAATGCTTCTCTAGTCTAAAACGATTTGTAATAAAACATCGATATTTATTATAGGGATTATTCAATATTAATTATTGAAGGTACATCAGCTTTTGTACCGTACTCTTCCAGGCAATTTTAATTACAAAAAATTTTCAACTTTCCCAAAAAAAAAAGATGGTTCTCAAAAAATTCACAACTGGGTGACTTAACCCCCCCCCCCCCAAAACAAAAGGCAAAACATTTCTTAATTTTTGTTTATTTTTTATTACCTTCAATATCATGATAAAAACCTAAAATTTGTAAATTGTTGGAATCATTTTTGGAAGGTGTAAGCTATACATATAATAAGCTTCAAACTTTTTCTGTTTCCTTTGAACCCACAAAACTATTTCGCGGCTTTTTATACACATCATTAGAAAAAATGGTTCTCTAAAACTATTCAAGATAATGACCTGAAATTTGCAGGGATTATTCCTGAAGATGTCAGCTATACATGCAATTATCAAAAATATTCTTCTGGGCAATTGTGAACCAACAAAACAACATTTGAATATTCAAAAACTGAATTTCTTCATTTTCGGCCTTTTTTCTTATGCTTAGTGATATTTCAGAAAATGTAATGGTCAAACATATTCTTCTTGTGATTTTGAACCAAAAATAAACCATGGTGAAACTTCATCTCTGAATTTCTCATTTTCCATTTTTTTTACGTTCGATGACATTCAAAAAAATCGTTCTCTAAAACTAATAAAGATAAAGAACTGAAATTTGGAGGGATTATTCTTGAAGGTGTAAACTATACATGGTGGCTTTTCCATAACTCTGTAACAAACAGATTTTTTTTTGTATGTCTATGAAGTATGGTGACAAAAAACGAAAATTAATGAACTCACCGTCAAGTTCTGTAAAACGTAAAATAATCGTTGTTCATTAAAAAAAACCACATAGCTGCATAGATCATTGACTTAGGAATATGTAAAAACTAAATTTACACTCATAGATTGATAAACTGCCACAAACGTGTAATATTATTAGGTTGTACTCATTGTAGAGACTTGATAACAGCCCTAATAAGCTGTCCAAATTTCATTTAGTTATCTTTACTCAATCAAAAGTTATAGTCAAAAGTGTGTTTTCGACTAGCACGTCCCCTTAAAAAAGCTTGTATCTTGGAGCAAACTATCTTTATTCATGATATAGTGTATTGTAACAGTGGCATATAATCCTGAATATTGTAATTATTAAAATACAACTTATTTTACATCAATTTTTTATGCATATGATATTGTATGAGCCATCTTGTATCTAGTGTTGTAAATTATTTAAATTATTGTCCCCCGCCTTTCGAAGAAAGCAGGGGACTATTAAAATGGGTTCGTCCGTCTGTCTGTCCGTCTGTCTGTCCGTCTGTCCGTCTGTCTGTCCGTCTGTCTGTCCGTCACACTTTTTGGGACACAATAACTCTCTTCCTAATTGAGCTAGAATGTTCAAACTTGGTGTATGTGTTTATTAGGTCAATGCCTTGATGGAGTTCGAAGATGAGCATTTTCCGCTTAGGGTAAGCAGAGATAAGCAATTTGATTGGTTGATGCTTTGGGACACGATAACTCTCTTCCTAATTGGGCTAGAATGTTCAAACTTGGTGTATGTGTTGATTAGGTCAATGCCTTGATGGAGTTCGAAGATGAGCATTTTCCGCTTAGGGTAAGCAGAGATAAGCAATTTGATTGGTTGATGCTTTGGGACACGATAACTTTTAATTGAGCTAGAATGTTCAAACTTGGTGTATGTGTTTATTAGGTCAATGCCTTGATGGAGTTCGAAGATGAGCATTTTCCGCTTAGGGTAAGCAGAGATAAGCAATTTGATTGGTTGATACTTTGGGGCACGATAACTCTCTTCCTAATTGAGCTAGAATGTTCAAACTTGGTGTATGTGTTGATTAGGTCAATGCCTTGATGGAGTTCGAAGATGAGCATTTTCCGCTTAGGGTAAGCAGAGATAAGCAATTTGATTGGTTGATGCTTTGGGACACGATAACTTTAGTTCTAATTAAGTGAGATTGATGAAACTTGGTGTATAGTTTCATTACAGTAATACCTTGACTAAGTTTGATAATGAGCATTTTCTGCTCAGGGTAAGCAGCAATTTGATTGGTTGATACTTTGGGGCACGATAACTCTCTTCCTAATTGAGCTAGAATGTTCAAACTTGGTGTATGTGTTGATTAGGTCAATGCCTTGATGGAGTTCGAAGATGAGCATTTTCCGCTTAGGGTAAGCAGAGATAAGCAATTTGATTGGTTGATGCTTTGGGACACGATAACTTTAGTTCTAATTAAGTGAGATTGATGAAACTTGGTGTATAGTTTCATTACAGTAATACCTTAACTAAGTTTGATAATGAGCATTTTCTGCTCAGGGTAAGCAGAGCGATACGCAATTTGATTGGTCGAGACTTTGGAAAACAATAACTCTCCTACTTTGATTGTTAGACTATAAGTAAAGATATACTGTTTGATTGTTCAATACTTTGTAAAAGATAATTTGTGATAAATTTATATGTGTCCTCTAATTATTTTCCTTTTCGGCGGGGGACATCAGCCTCACTGTTGGCTTGTAATATCTGTTATTTATTTCAGTGTTCAGCACGTACATTAAAGAATATTAGTGAAGTATTTTATTATGCCCAGAAAGCTGTTTTACATCCTACTGCACCTGTTTATAATGCTGAAGAAAAGGAGGTATAGACATAATTATTCTGTTTTATTTTTCTATTTAATGTTTAGTTGTTAACTTCCTCACTGTAGAGTAGTGGTTCTCAAACTTTTTTTGTGCCAACGGCACATCTTGGAACACATGAAAAAATAGCGGCACACCTGACTAAATAATATATGAAAAATATTTGAATTTTGCAAAATAAAAACATGGCAAGTCATAGACACAGACTGGTCATAGACACATAGAATTACTCAAACTAAATAAAGAAAACACAGCTATGAACTTACCAGTAGACACCAGTGAATGCTCATTTGGGATCACATGGTTTTTTGCATTTTTTTAGTGTGCCGTTCAAAATCTCGTGACACACTGGTTGAGAATTGAGATATTTGTATTGATATTATAAATGAATAATTTGCAGGCAATTGCTCCCCCTATCAGCTTTATGTAAACCTTGTGTCACACAGCCTCCCCAAAATTATATCACTTTACCCCCACCACTGCAAATTCCATTGGCACCTAAATTGCTTTGTTAGTTAAGAAATCCTGATATCAGTACTATGAATCAGTAGATATTAAGCTAATTAATGATGTTTTGTCTGAGTTGATGATGATTTATAAAAGATTATGTATTTCTGTTTTTAAAGCTGACACCGCTATGTCGGAGGGCGTTAACCAGAATATTTAAAGTAAGTTCTTTTCTAAATGTTCTTAAAGACTCTAGAATTTCTTCCAAACTAAAATATTGTAAATGTTGAATCCCTAATATACTATTCAAAAAAAGTAGGGGATATTTGATTTTGGGGGCATAATACTAAAATATGCAAATGACTACGAAAAAAGTCACTATAGAACCTAACAGAAGAAACATTTCCAGTTACATGTGACGCCCAAACGCACCAATAGCTACCGCATGGAATGCAGGTGATGCTTGGGATCATCATGGGGGTCCAACCCAAGATTTGCACGACTCTGACTTTGAATGTTACAGTCATTGTGGCATTGAATTCCAGGGTGGAAACATCAGTTTAATTGTTTTAGTGACCAGAAAACAAATTTTGATATGCGTCGGCTTACCCAAAATGAAAGGTTACGTGCCCTTGGCATGCTACAGATCGGCACAACACAGGCGGTTGTGGCGCGGACGATGAATGTTTCTCAGTCTGTCATAAGCAGGCTATGGTCCAGATACCGTGATACACAATCTGTACAGGACAGACCACGCTCAGGTCGACCAAGGGCGACAACTCAAGCCCAGGATCGATTTATCCGTACCTTGGCCTTGAGAAATCGTGTCATCACAGCAAATCAGATCAGCGCTCGTCTTCAAACAGACACTGGTGTGAGAGTGAGTGGCCAGACGATTCGGAATCGACTGCATAGGGGTCACCTTCGCGCCCGACGTCCTCGCGTGATCCCTTGTTTGAGAGATCATCACATTCAGGCAAGACGTCGTTGGTGTAGGGATCGTCAACAATGGGATAATCGACGCTGGAGCAATGTGATGTTTTCAGATGAGTCAAGGTTCACTGTTGATTTTTTGGACAGACGTAGGAGGGTGTGGCGTCGTCGAAACGAGCGCTTCCAAGACGTTAACGTCATCAGACATGATCGATTTGGGGGTGGTTCTGTTATGGTGTGGGGAGGCATCACTGTTGCTGGAAGAACGGCTTTACATGTTGTTGCAGGGCGTGTTACAGGCCAGTACTACCGGGACATCATCTTGGCAGTCCATGTAGTGCCGTTCGCGCAACGTCATGGCCGCCGTTTCATCTTCCAGGATGACAACGCAAGATGTCACAGGGCCAGGATCGTTACAGGTTACCTCCAACAACAGAACATCACCACATTACCTTGGCCAGCACTGAGTCCCGACCTATCCCCCATCGAGCATGTCTGGGACATGCTTGGACAGAGGTTACGTCAACGTCAACAACGTCCTGCCAATGTCCAAGAACTTGCTGCTGCGTTGCAACAGGAATGGGACAATCTGGACCAAAATGACCTTAGACGTCTCATTAGGAGTATGCCACGTCGGATCAATGCTTGTTTGGCAAACAGAGGAGGATTTACCCGTTACTGACTTGGTTGGGATGCTGTGGTAACTTTGCTGTTTGACCCCGGGTATCATTTTACCCTTATAATGGTCAGTCTGTGCCTTACTTAGTCTAACGATCATTTGGAATAAATCGATGAATGTGAACTTCATTTCATTTTGTCATTTGTTTTTTCGTCAGTTTCATTAGGTGACTTTAATAACACTTAAAAATCAAATATCCCCTACTTTTTTTGAATAGTATAGTAAAGCAATATCAGTCCAAAAATGGTTCAATTCCGTTCTGTATTTACAAACATATGATGAATTAAAAATTTCATCAATTTATGCTGCTTGCTTATGTAACACGATTTCACACAAAGAAAGTTATAGTAATCTTTGTTGGTTAAATTTAAAAATACATTATGCAAGAGCTAAATCTGCCTATTGGATGTGTTTCATGACCGAGAAAGTTCACCAGGATTTTCCGTCATGGTTACCCCTTTTTGCCACTGCCCAGGCAAAATTTCCCTCATGGCCCACAGTATGGCATATGCCTGTCTTCATTAGCCCAGGTGGAGCAGAACAGTAGGACATTAAATCCTATTTCATTTTCATTTCCCTTTTCCGAAAACCTTGTGAATGCGATAGTGGCTATAGGATTTAACAGATTTTTTTAAAAATTTGATTGGATGCAATGGTGTCATAAGAGGATGAACCGTAGAGATTAGATTTGTTCAAACATCCAAGGTTTTTTTTTTCGGATAAGCTTTAGTCGTAATTCTTTTTACATGTCCAAACTGCTGGTTAGCAAATTTGTCTTTGAAAGATATGTCTCTGGTTTCCTATAAATGCCTTTAAACTTTTAAGTTTATTGTCCCCCGCCTTTCGAAGAAAGCAGGGGACTATTAAAATGGGTTCGTCCGTCTGTCTGTCTGTCCGTCTGTCTGTCCGTCACACTTTTTGGGACACAATAACTCTCTTCCTAATTGAGCTAGAATGTTCAAACTTGGTGTATGTGTTTATTAGGTCAATGCCTTGATGGAGTTCGAAGATGAGCATTTTCCGCTTAGGGTAAGCAGAGATAAGCAATTTGATTGGTTGATGCTTTGGGACACGATAACTCTCTTCCTAATTGGGCTAGAATGTTCAAACTTGGTGTATGTGTTGATTAGGTCAATGCCTTGATGGAGTTCGAAGATGAGCATTTTCCGCTTAGGGTAAGCAGAGATAAGCAATTTGATTGGTTGATGCTTTGGGACACGATAACTTTTAATTGAGCTAGAATGTTCAAACTTGGTGTATGTGTTTATTAGGTCAATGCCTTGATGGAGTTCGAAGATGAGCATTTTCCGCTTAGGGTAAGCAGAGATAAGCAATTTGATTGGTTGATACTTTGGGGCACGATAACTCTCTTCCTAATTGAGCTAGAATGTTCAAACTTGGTGTATGTGTTGATTAGGTCAATGCCTTGATGGAGTTCGAAGATGAGCATTTTCCGCTTAGGGTAAGCAGAGATAAGCAATTTGATTGGTTGATGCTTTGGGACACGATAACTTTATTTTGTTTTGTTTTTTATTTCGGCGGGGGACATCAGCCTCACTGTTGGCTTGTTACATTTCATTGATGATATTTGTAAGAGTGATATGAATTTATTTTAGATTTGTGATAAAGACAACGATAATGTATTGAATGATGAAGAAGTTAATGCTTTTCAGGTGAGTTACTATAACTAACATACTACACAATAAATAGTGAGATGGTAACAGGCCACGAAATTTCAAATTTTGGCGTTACCAGAAAAAATGGTTGCGGGTTTATGCTCTGTGGAACCATTTACTTTGGATACACCAGATGACCATTGCGTAACCAATTGGTTACATAAAATGGTTGTGCTATTTTCATGTTTTATCCAGATTTATATGGTGCTATTATTCATTTCCACTTGCAGTTACAAGTAATCTATTTTTTAAAGGAAATAACTTGACTAATTTATATTCTTCTATATTTAATATTATATTTTGGGGTTAAGTGTTTATGACTTTAATCCCACGGTGTTCAAAGTACCGTAAAATGGAGAAATGAAATGCCAAGAATGAATGAATGAATGAAATTTGTGCTGTCGGTCGGTTAATTTAAGAGCTATAATACTAGTAATTTAGACCTGTGTCACAAAATCATCCTGTATAAAAAATTATCAAATGTGAATAAATTTGTAAACGTAGGCAATATTTCAATTTGCGAAACCAGGAAATCGGTTGCCTTTTTTTTTGAGCTGGCGCGACCGCACGTAACCGATTGGTATCGTTCGTGTGAAATTTCGTGGTCTGTGGTAGAAGATGGACAGTGTTCCAGATAATGTTAAAATGAATTATTTCTATGTTTTAATAATTGCTCCATGGATACATATGCCAGAATATAGAGATTAAATAAGCTTAAGGTGTTTTAAGACCATACACAGTCAAAAGTATTTTTATTGAAAAACATTATTCAAATAGGTCAGTACTGATTTGTATGCAATTTTATGTTTAAATTTGTTTCTATTGATAGTTTCTTCATTTAGCATTTGAATATATATATAAACACATCTTGAGATATGCGGACTTGCTTTTTACTAATCCGTGTTTTGGACTAGAGAGAGAGAGAAATGGGGTTTAACATTCACTCGACACAGACTAGGTCATTTCGGGACTAACATAATGGTTTAATTTTTTTTCAATAATTCGCTTGCGCGTAGAGGTCTGTAGCAGTGGGAGGAAACCGGAGGACCCGTAGAAAACCCACGAGGTTGGACAGGCGACCCTACTCCTTGTCACGTACAACCGGGGATTCGAAACCATGCCAGTTGACTCAATGACAGGCTTTATGATACAGCACGCACGTGATAACCATTCGGCCATCCAGCCCCCCCCCCCCCTTGGTGTTTTGGAGTAACTTGAGACTCTATTACTCGACTAGTGTATGATATAAAATTGTATCAAGTATGGTAATCTCTATTATCTATTACTGGTACCGTATTATCAACCCCAAGTTTTATAGTCATGTACAATGAACTAATTAATAAAATATACTATTGGTTATACATTCTCGTACCCATCTGTTTCAAACTACATCCTTAATCCATAGTTTAACATAATGTATAGTATAGTATATGCCAGTGATGAGATTTCGCCCATATATTTCGGACATGTCTGACGCTATTTTCCAAACGTCCTAAATTGCCTGACCAGGAGTATGCCCAATCAGACATCAAGACATGGTGAATAATATTCTAAATTCCAAAATTAATATACTGTACTGTGTGTATAACCACCACTCAACCCGATTATCGATGATAATAGGCTGGATTGATTAGGTAATCAAGTGATCAACATATTATCATGTTATACCGTCTATACACCTACCATGATTAACTACTTAATCCTTTGTCAGATTATATATCAATTATTAATTTTGCTGTCCAATCAGAAAGTAGGATCTCTTCGAACTGAACTGTTAATTGCCTATGATATATATATATATATATAGGTAGTAACATAAGTAGAAACAGACTTACTTTTTGTTGAATCACATAATGGGAGTAGAAATGTACATCTCTAATGAATTCTAAAAGCTGATGTGGAAGGTTGTGATTGTACTTTGAAACCGATGGGTAAGCTTATAGAATATATTCATCATGTAATACTTTTATTACATGATTCTTTATCTGTTTTTTTTTTCATAAATATTTAAAACTTCAATATTTCAGCAAAAATGTTTCAATGCTCCCTTGCACCATCAAGCATTAGAGGATGTAAAAGCTATAGTTCATAAACATACCTCAGAAGGAATTATAAATGATGGAATATCTTTAAAAGGTAAAATATTAAGTATACTCTATAGGCGTTTTTGTGAGTCGATTAGATTAGGTTTTGATTTGCTAGTACGATTTGGTATGATTTCGATTTGATTAGCTATGGTCCACAAATGTGAAATTTGATAATTACGATTTGGTAAGATGGCTGCCACCACGGACACCGATCAGAAAAAAAATTGTCTCTGCTAACATGACGAGGGGGGCGTGTGTTTCACGTGTAGTCCAAGTTACCTACAGATTACAGTGACACTGCTGGCACCCAGAGGGCCTAAAATTGCTTAGAGCCAGAGGTGATCTAACATTCTTGTGGACTATAAAGTTAACATTAAAGGAGCTAAATCGCTAACATTTGGGACCTAGAAATTGACAAAAGTGGGTCGCAATGCATATAATACTGTAATATGAATGTATATAAACTGATTTACATTCAATGGTTTCCGTTTTTACTCCAATTTCAAATCCGTTATGTTCGGCGAAATAAGCCAGCAGTCTCAAGCGAGTGCAAATTTCTAGCGTCTGGTTATTCCAGTTTACATACGCCGTTTGATTTGGTGCAATGTGTCTAGCCTCGTCCCTCGAGTCTCTTGATACAACTAGGTCTGAAGCGCATTATGGTACACGATTCGTGTACCAATGGTAAAATGTTTATTTTGTCTTAAATATTGGATATCAAAAGCCCATCTTTTCCCGTTAAGATCACAACATGAATGTTGATATAATTTGACAAATAAATCGTGTTTTCAATGTTGAAGATTTTGGATGATATTGAGTTAGAAACTTAGCTACTTTAAACACATCAAATGCGTTTTAAAAAAACATTTTTTATGGAGAAAAACAACAATAAGCATTAAAAATTACTTACGATGTCGAACATTCCGCCATTTTGAAAACGTCAAATCTAATCGCCTAAACACCTCCTGGGACGATTAGGTCGATTTGCCTAATCAGTTGAGTTAAATCGTTTCACAAATGTAACGATTAGCATAATCAACTTGGTTCACAAATGCGTATAATAGCTTATCGGTCTAATCTAATCGGTTCACAAAAACGCCTTAGATGTATTGTTTTAATTAATCATACAAAAACAATAAATTATTGCATGGGTTCCACAGATGTGAGTATGAATTGTGGACAAAAATGTATGTTAATGTTGTTATCAAAGAACATTGTTTCATAGTGTTACTTTTCAGAGTATGTTGATCCATGTTATGGTTTATCAAAGATAAATGTGAAAAATTGTGGCACACATTGTAAGTCCTGATATGGGAAACCTGACTAAACAGAGTAAATGTTTGTGTGAGGGTTCACTGAGATTTATAAAATGTCCCAAGGGGTATGCGAGTATAAGAAGTTTGGGAACCACTGTGCTAGGGGAGGATATCACTTGATGTGAAGTTAGCCTGTCATATTAGGACTTATGTTACAATTCTGTGTTCAGCATCTCATCTGTGCACTTCTAATTTCATCTCTTTATTTTTTAGGTTTCTTGTTTCTTCACACATTATTTATACAGAAAGGTCGACACGAAACAACATGGACAGTTCTAAGAAAGTTTGGTTATGATGAACATTTAGCTTTAACTAAAGATTTTATAGCACCTAAGTAAGTCCATTGTACATATAAAGAATTAGAGTGTAGCAAGACTTAATTTCAATTAAACAATTGTCTGGATCTTAGTATTACAATGTTTTTAGTTTCTAAAATTGAAATAGTTGAGAAAATAAAATGTTTTGTGTACCGCTTACTATATATAACTTGTATTCATCTTTTAGAGTACAGATAGGAACTGGTAGTACAACAGAAATAAGTCACAATGGTTTGGAATTTTTAACAACATTATTTCAAAAATATGATGAAGTAAGTACTGAAGATTTTGATAATAGCACAAACAATATATTGCATAAGGATAATGAGAGACAGGCTTCTATTGAAGTTGTTTTATGTCAGTTTAATGCCACTGTTAGGGCTTTTTTATATGATTCAAATTTTGTCTTGACATTTGGACAAATAAAGATTAAAGGGAGAGTATGAGTACCGATAGAAATGCCTTGTTTTGTTTATCAGGGGTTCAAAAGGTATTCTTATGACATAAACAAAAACTAATTAAACATACATTATGCAAGAGCTAAATCTGCCTATTTCAGGTCTTTCTTTAGGCCTGAAATGTTATCTAAATTATTAATTAGACATGAATTAACCTATCCAGGCCATAATCAACTCTAGATGGCAGCGCTAGCCTGCGATCTTTAGTGGATTGTAAGCCGATTTACTGCATAACTTTCCTTCTCAATTAAACGATTAAATGGATAATCGAGACTATTCTGTTTATAGTACTGACTTTAGTAATGATGACCGAGGCTTATGGGAATTTCAGTCGCTTAGTTCTCGGTTCATAATGGATCAATTTGAATGAAATTTTCACCAAATTGCCTTTACATTATCTAGTTTTTAACTATTATAGTGAGAACTGCCAACTCGTTACCGAATCTCCCATAATGTATCTTTAACTAATAGACTATAGAGAACCCAAATGATTGACCCAGTCTCTAATGTTTGTATTGTGGCATTTACACTTCAATATATTAATAACATATAATCCTGAACTCCCAAAATGACAAATACCAACACTCTAGCATCTTAGTTGTGAATAAACTAGTCCAGATAGGATACTAATGTACTTACTATTTACAAACACCACAAGAAAGGAGAAAATTTAATTTTTCTCATAAACCTTTTACTAGGAATTCTTTATTTTATTCGTAATGCCCAGTAAGATTCTTGAATCCAACTATTTTCGGCTTGTTCAGGCTTTTTAAAATCATTAAGAATAGATAGATATAACTTATATGATTAATTTATGTAGGATTATGATATTTATGTGTGGTATGTTTTATGTAGGATTATAATATTTATGTGTGGTATGTTTTATGTAGGATTATGATATTTGTGTGTGGTATGTTTTATGTAGGATTATGATATTTATGTGTGGTATGTTTTATGTAGGATTATGATATTTATGTGTGGTATGTTTTATGTAGGATTATGATATTTATGTGTGGTATGTTGTATGTAGGATTATGATATTTATGTGTGGTATGTTTTATGTAGGATTATGATATTTATGTGTGGTATGTTTTATGTAGGATTATGATGGATGTCTCTCTCCACCAGAATTAAAGAATCTCTTTAGCACCTGTCCTATCATGCCATGGGGTCCTGATGTTAATAATACAGTATGTACAAATCCACAAGGTTGGATATCTTTAAAAGGATATTTAGCACAATGGACGTAAGTTTCTTTTGTTTTTATACGGCCACATAGAAATGTGAACGTATATTGTTGTCGCCCCCGTCCGTCGGTCCATCCTCCACAATTTCTTTTGAACACTCTATAGACTACATTTATCATCTGATTGAATTTGCAATTGATATATGTTGTTTACATCAGTGAGATAAAGAAGCTTATTTAATTTCTGTTAATTTCTTCTGGGGTTATGGCCCTTGTTTCACTTTATTGCACCTTGTGAACGCTCTAATGTTAAAAATTATTATCTGACCTGTATGAAATTTATGTGCGTCCTTTAAATTAGTGAAACAAAGAAGCCTATTGAATTTCAACAATTTCCGATAATTACTTCTAGAGTTATGACCTGTGTTTCACTTTGTCGAACCCTGTGAACGCTCTAACAACCAAAGTTATCACCCAGTCTGTGTGATATTTATATGCATTATTTAGATTAGTGAAATGAAGAATCCTATTGATATTCAGCAATTTCCATTAATTAATTTATATGTATCATTTGAGTTAGTGAAACAACGAATCCTTTTGAATTTCAGCAATTTCTGTTAATTTCTTCTCGGGTTATGACCCTTGTTTCACATTGTTGCACTTTGTGAACCGCTCCAATGACAAGTCATCGTCTGATCTGTATGAAATTGATATTCATTATTAAAATTAGTAAAATGAAAAATACTGTTGAATTTCAACTTCCAGAGTTAAGGCCCTTGTTTCAGTTTGTAGCACCATGTGAATCCCCAGAGGACGAAATTATAATCTGATCTGTATGAAATTGTCTTGTAAATGCCCCCCGTTACCAACAAAAGACTAAATATGCAACAACCCTTGTTGACCGCTCGGACGATTTAGCTGCCGTGGGCGTATGTTTTGTTGTCTGGCAACCTATCTTTGTTTGTCTTATCATTAATGTACTGTTTAATATTTTATATATTCTACATGTCTAATGAACTGTAATTGATTTTACTGCTTTAACATGTGTTGAACATGCTTGATGTATATTTTAATTCATTGGCTTAAATTTTGTTCTAATTACAGATTAACAACTTTGTTAGATTTACCGAGAACATTAGAATATTTAGCTTATTTAGGTTATCATTATGATCATGAGACTCAACTTACAGCAATACATGGTAAATATACAATTTTAACATATCTATTTAAATGAACTATTTAATGAGTCTTAAAAGTTCTTCCAAATATAGTCTATGGTACGGTTCCAAATAGAATTTACATTGCTTTATTATGCTATTAACTTTTATAGATATTTATTTGTAATCCTAGTAGATAAGGAATAAAGAACGTTATATCTAGAGATAATAATAACTTTGTTTATTTCAGTAACAAGGGATAAAAAGATAGATCTAGAAAAGCGACAGACAACTCGTAATGTATTTCGATGTCATGTATTAGGTGGAAAAAGTGTTGGAAAGGTCAGATTTTATAATGATACAATATGGGAATCATGTTGGTTTACATTACGCAATTATTGTCTCAGTATTCTTTGATATGGAGCTTGTGTAACGTCCAATTATGTTACCCTTTGAATATCCTTGTGTTCTAGACACGTAATAAAAGCTTTGGCCATTCAGTACCCGTGTATTTGCAGATGTAATCTGAAATAAGGTGTTCAAGATATACTTACAAAAACCTTAAATTTGTCATAAGGATAGCATTATTTTATTTATTTTGCCCCGCCTTTTCAATAAAGCAGGGGACTATTAATACAGATATGTCTGTCTTTCACACATTTGGGAACACCATAAGTCTGGTTCTAATTGAGGTAAAAATAACAATTCATACAGTAAAATCTGTTGTGTATCAAGGATCATTTCGAGTGAAATTTTAAAGGCTCTTCATTCTTCACAATCTGATTAAAATACAGATCTATATTTCGTTTCGTTTTTTTATATTTCCGATGGCCTACACTACATGAAGATCTGACCGGTTGTAGTGGGAGGTCGCATCGTGGTTATCCGAGTGGCTTTTGACCCTTCAACCAGCATTGACGTTTCTAATGATTTACCCACAGTTCTGTGCATCGCATGCCAAGAACTCACCATAACAGACCGTTCCATTGGCTAATCCCTCACATTACCCAGAAGGCGACTTATATAACAATTCTTGCCGATCTTAGTGTTGTAAAGACAAGTAAAACAAAATTTTGAACTATAAAAAAAAGGAAATTGGATCTGGCAGAAAAATAACATTGTCTTTTTAATGTTTATAAAAAAGGTTTTTATATATAGTCATAAAGTAATGAGTAATGGTAATGAATTACGTCCAGTGTAAATTGTAATGATAATGAATTACATGGCTAAAAATAAGGAAGTTATTGTAATGATTACATTTAAAAAATAATGATAATGTAATGTAATTAATTGCATTGGCAATGTAATGGTGCCAGCCCTGGTGGCATGTTCAAACTTGGTGTAGGTGCTTACTAGATGAATGCATCGACTTGGTTTGATGATAGTTGATGAAAGTTGGTGTATGCTGTACACTGTATAGCTTCATTTCATGAATACCTTGACTAAGTTCGATAAATATTTGATTGCTTGAAACTTTACAAAGGGGTAAATGAGCAAGTAATTATTGAGACCATCTATTTACATTGGGATTGAGGTGGGAGACATCAGACTCACTGTAACAGCTGGACTCCTTTAAAGGACAATATTGGTGCCAGTCATTATCACATATGTGTTAGAGCTGGTTAAACACATTCCAAATATACTTTTAACACAGAGATCATTGCTACGATAGCTGAGTAATACAGGTTTCCCGTATCGGAAGTGACGAACGCCAAAGGAAAACACGAGTCACGGCTCTATATAACTGACTGAAGCGACGAGTGATAACAGATACACGGCCGAATTTCTGCTCACTAATAATTCCCTTGAAGACCAACAGTTGTTGTGTGAGACTGTGAGAGGATATCTGACAATTCATAAAAAGAATTGACTGCCACTAGATAAGAGAACACGAAAGAAAAACAGAAAAAGTCTGTGCATTACCATGTTTTTATAAGGTATAGAATGAATATAAACAAGGGAATGTACGGACTATTTCTATTTTTCTCGTGTATTACTCAGCTATCGTAGCAATGATCTCTATGTTAAAAATATATTTGGAACGTGTTTAACCAGTTCTATCACATATGTGATAATGACTGGCACCAATATTGTCCTTTAACAATTTTCATTCAACTTCCCTCATTGCACTGGATGTAACCAGCATGATTAACATGTTTTTGCTTTCAAACTTTTATAATAATATTAATAACTCAATGTTTTCATTATTCTAAATGGGTTTTGTATTCTTCTAGTTATAAATCCATGAAATGTTATTTTATTACAACCTCCATTGAAATTATATTATTGTTGTTTATATTTTTCAGACTGCATTCTTACAAGGTTTATTACATAGAAATTTACGCTATGTAGCCACATTAAATCTTGAACATTTATCTAGCTTCACAATCAACACTGTTCAAGTATATGGCCAGGAAAAACATTTAATGGTAAATTTAATGATATTAGATTTAAAGGGGTATTAGTGCTTTGATGATCTCTTGCATTTGTTATAAACAATGAATAATTGTTTTACTTGATTTAAAGATACATTCCCGCATACAAACTTTGTGATTTGATGATATATTTGGACTAAAAACATATTCAAAGTAACCAATCTATCAAAAATTTGCTTCAATTCCCTTGCAAAACTTTTTATTCGCTGGGGATACCTATGGCTATAAATAAGCTGTTGTTAGATGCAATGTCTGTCAACTTAGCTTCATTGTGGGAGGGTCCATTTTTCAGAATGTATTTATCATTACTTACTGTACATTTACCATACATATTGAGGCCTAAGTAAATTCTTAATTATTTCTGTCAACTTCTTTTTCCGCTGTTTAATTGCAGAGTCTTTTGTTCGTTGACACCCCTCAATGTTCCCCAAACCGCCTAACCATTTGATCAAGAAATAACAACCGCAACCTCATTTAAGCTGGCACACAATAAGCTGGCAGATAACAGTCGGGTTGCCAGTTAGTGATACCCTGACAATTTTGCCCAGTGCTTGCCCCATGGGCATTTTTGGGGTAATCAAGTATTTTTCTAGTAAGATTGGGTGTCTATACTTTCCATATATACCAAATTTGACACACTTTTATTGGAAATAACCACCCAATAAATACTTAAAATTTGATTTTATGCAAAATGTGACACAATCATCCAAGCCAAGGTGGAGATATATCAGTCATTCACATTTTCAAGTATTACCTTGTAGTCAATGTTTTTGAATATGTTGTTCAAACTTAAATACTTGTATTTTTTGTGTGAAAGTGATAATGCTTCTTTAATACTTCAACTTTTGAATGACATTTAGAAATTTAAGTCTGACTGATTGTTTAAAATCTAAAATATATATTTCAATGTTGTAATATTATTTTCAGACAAACAAATAAAATATAAACATGTTGTTGAATGATATTTTGTAGTTACATGAAGTTGATGTTGGTATGAGTGATATGTTAACACCAACAGAATTAGATTGTGATGTTGCTTGTTTATTATATGATGTTACAAACCCTAGAAGTTTTGAATTCTGTGCTAAAATGTATTTGGTAAGAGATTTTTCTTAAAGATCATGCAATTTTTGAGAAAATAAAAGAACAGTTTTCTTTCAAAATACCAAAGATAAAATGTTGGTGATAAAAATACTTCATTTATTCTTTTACAAATAAATACTATTTTTAATATCTGTGATGGCTGTAAGCAATATAAAAAAAGTAAGGTTTGGCTTGGTGTTTATTCTTGTTTTGGAGAAGAGCTCTTTATATATATATATACCTGCCTAAAATTATCTGTAAATATTAAATTTATTTATTACTGTACATTATTATTAATATTATTAGTTCACCATACCCCATAGTTAAAGACCTCATTTGTCTTTCTGTGTTAAACGAACCCTGTTAGTAACCCTGCTGTTGAAGATTTTCATTGGCTTGCACAAAGGCTTGTCAGCAAATCAGCAACTAAAAAAGTTGCTTGTGAATACAATGGTTCAGTTGAGGGAAATTTCTATTTATCCTTAGGCTTGTATTTTAAAAATTAGTATTTAGAAACAAATTAAACCCTAACAGATGTTTTTATTTGTATCCAAAAGTGCAATCTTGTCAAATTTATATTTTCAGAAACTATTTATAGACAGTAAAATACCTACATTAATTGTAGCGTGCAAAGCTGAACATCCTGAGATACGACAGGATTATGAGATGACCCCAGCTCAGTTTTGTAATCACTACAAACTTCCACCACCTCAACTATTTACTTGTATAGATAAAGTTAATAATGACGTCTATGTTAAATTGGCTACAATGGCTGCTTACCCGTAAGTATAATACTTGACATCATATATAATATACTGTAAAACAAGAAATTAATGCAAGAACTATGTTAATGCAGTAAATGCGACTTGTCCCTTTCGTTGGGGGGTTGGATGGCTGAATGGTTAGCGTGCGCTCGCTGTATCATAAAGTCTGTCATTGAGTCAGTCGACTGGCGTGGTTTCGAATCCCCGGTTGTACGTGACAAGGAGTAGAGTCGCCTGTCCAACCGTGTGGGTTTTCTCCGGGTCCTCCGGTTTCCTCCCACTGCTAAAGACCCCTATGCGCAGGCGAATTATTGAAATAAAATTAAACCATATGTTAGTCCCGAAATGACCTAGTTTGTGTCAAGTGGATGTTAAACCCCATTTCTCTCTCTCCCTGTCCCTTTTGTTAATTAAATATACTGTGTCTAACTTACAAGAAGTAACGAGTAGACTGTAGAGTATGGCGGGTGAAATTAATTTCAATAAGTAATTATGATGACTCCCTTAAGGTCACATTAATTTCATGATGCATTTATTTCTTGTCTTACAGTAGTATAAGTTATATCAACTATTTTTATACTGTTAAACTGTTTCATATTAAAACTCACTTTCTACACTAATAACATATTAGTATAGGTACTGACTGGCTCGTCGGTATTTAATGGGATGATTCCATGTTTATTTGTTTTATTTTCACTACTTGTATTTTTATAAACATCTTAAATAACAAAAACACATTCTGATCTTACTTACATATATTCCAACTGAACACCTCTAAACATAGAAATTTTATCATTATACCATTGTTCCTTTTTCAAATGAATGTACTTATTGCAATATGTGGGAATATGTCACAAGTCTTGAGTTAAGTCCCAAGCTGCTGCACCTCGAGTCCGAGTCAATCCCAAGTCACCGACTTTAGTACCGAGTCGAGTCTAGTCACAAGTCTTCACAAATCCCAAGTTCTGTTGAGTTTATCAAATGTGTCAGTAATTCATGGCCAATAAGACAAGTTAGAGTTATGTCCCCTCACTGCGACTTGCGTCCCCCCTTCTGGAAAGTACTATAATTATGATACTGCTGGTAAGGTTGTCAGATTAACACTTTTGGTGAAACAAAATACCTGCGCACAATCTAGAATCGTTTATTTGTGAATAAAATTAAATGGATTATAGGTCAGTTGTCAACATTCATATAGTACAGTGGGTCATGGTGGCTAACTGGGTAAGATGCTGGCTCGCTCGCTAGCCTGGAGGTCGGGTGTTCGATGCCTGCATTGGCCGAGAAAGTTCATCCCTTGTCAGTGATGCAGGGCGGAGGGCCTGATAAGGACAGCTGACTAGTCATTCGGATGGCACAAAAAATTGAGGTCACGTGTACACATTGGCGTGCTCGTAAAAGATCCCTTGACAGTTGGAATTCAATATAATAGTAGGCCGTAGTGCTGCTTTCCGGGCAAAATTTCCCTCATAGCACACTGTATGGCGTATGCCCATCTTCATAAGCCCAGTTCGGAGCAGAGCAGTAGGACGTTAAACTCCATTTCATTTCATGTAGTACAATTATGTGTAATGGCACTGATAATAGCAATGTCGAGGACCTTACGTCATATTTTAAGATTTAGTTGTAATTTGTTTCTCCTAAGGCTATTTCCGCCAATTTCGGATTTCAAGGAAAATGATTTGCAGTATTATGAAGCCAACTTTGGGACAATGTAAAGTTTATTTTAAATCAGATGTTGTAATTGATATTAATTGATATTGATGTGTTTTCTTAACAGTTACTTTGTGAAAGGTGATCTTCTGTTTATGGTTAACTATTCATAGGTGCCTCAGAAGTTTTTAGCAAATAAATAAAAAGGCATAGTTGTCTGTCAATCTAATTACAATGTTTTTAAAGCCTCTACTTTATTAACTATATCATTACCACAATTGGTACAGAAAGTAGGACATTAAACTCCATTTCATTTCATTTCTATACACTTCACTTAACTTTTCAGCAATTGGCTAAATGAGGGGTCAGATCAGTTGAATGCAGACTTCTTAAAGATGTTTTTAGACCTTACTCAGTTATTGTAGTCTAAATATGAATGACATTAAAAAGAAATGAAAGTATAGTCTAAGTTTAATTAAACCTATGTTGTTTGTGATAATAAGATTTTTCTCTTCCTAATTTCAGCAATCTGAAACGTTTGGTTCATATGTTACTGGTTCATCAACGTCCTCTCTGGTTAGAGGATCAGTTAAGGTTCATAATTCTCTTGTATCATATAGTAATCACCTGCATGATCCTTGTTTTAATTTTATATCTATAGTGTGATGTTTTTGTTTGGAATCCTGGTTAAGGGCCTGGTACTAAATTTTCTCTAACATGGTAACATTGGCTATAAAGCTAGAGAATAACATGTGATTAAATAATGCTATTTTAATCTTACTTTGTCAGTATTGTATTCTATAGTGTTTTAACAAGATGTTGGATGTGTATTTCTATGTGAGCCAGTATATGTAGTAATGTAGTATTAATAGTTGTAATTGTGTAATTATCTGTATTTATGGTATTTTATGTATGTTCTGTCTTATTAACCTTCACAACAACTTTTTTTTTTCACATTAATTCCTTTTTTCTCACCCTTACTTTTTTGTGTAATATAACTAAATGGATGACTTATGGTCCATGGGTCATTGCTGTATACCAATACAGGTTTATTAGGTTTATTAATTAATTAATCATAAGCAGGAACCCAGAAAAAATATAACAGTTTAGTGCATTATGCTCTAGAAATTGCTTAAATTTTCCACTGACAATTCATATTTCGCACCTTTGGCAGCTTTTTGGCTGATAAACAAGCCCAATAGAATTTCAGAGTCTTCAGGACCCTTTCTGAAAAAGATGCTTCTACTGATCGCTAGGATATGATCGTATGCAAAGCAACTTAAAATTGCAACCATAATTCCAGTGCTTATTGATTTGAGTGCTCAAAATAGGGGTTGTCAATTGAAATTAAAATTTAAATAATTTTTAGAGCAAAATGTGTTTGATCCCAGAGTTAACCAGGAATTTCTGGCCTGACCTCGAGTTCGCAAGGTTAAGTTGAAAATTTACTCAACTTTCAATCACTGTTTATTAGAAATATCTTTGGTCCAGAAACACAAAACTTGCACATACGGGTAGTCTCTTATACCTTAAAACAACAAGAGTTTTATAAAGGGCTACATTTTAGTTAAAATAAAGCAAAAAATTTTGATTAAATTTATAACTTAAGTCTGAGAATGCTTTGTGAACTTGGGGCCTGGTTTCTCCTTGTCTGTGGTGCAGAATAGAGATTCTGACTTGGAACATTCTAGTCATTCGGACGGGAGGAAAAGCTCAGGTTCTGTATATAAGTTGGCATGCACCTAAAAGACCTCCCAACATATGTAATTAGCTGAGAAGAGTAGGTTTATACCCGAGCCCCAACTTGTTTATTCGCGACCTGCAAACCTACTTTTGATTGGTTTGGCACTTCCTGCAACAGCTACTAAAACCCATTGGGGTGCCATTAAAAAATCTTGCCCCTATTGCTGTGGCCGTCCCACCGCACTTCTGCTGTATACCAATGCTAAACTAATATAATGTTGTTTTAATATTACTGTGAATGTTTTAGAATGCACAATTTATAAACTTCTGTTTGGGTCAATCTGTGTCAATGGACCAAGGGTTGTTGTAGGGTGGTATGATGAGAAAACCCTGAAAACCAGATAGTTATTTTGATATGCCAATATTTGATACTGGAGTTATCATCTCCCCTGTTCATTCTATATCTTCACTTTAGTGGGATTATTCAGCAATCTCATAATGATACTAATAGTTTTTCTTGAACATCTCTACAGCAATATATTGACTTTTTATCTCTCAATCATAGGTGCACAGAACCCGTAACTAGTAACTGAATATAAATAAAATTCTACCAGTAAACTTACTATATAAGTGTTCTCTTCTTTTTTTTTCTTTTTTTTTTTTACATATTCTTAATTTCTTTTTTCAGACATCTACGGAACATTTTTACAGATGATAACAAACTTTATATACAAATTGGACTTGGTATTGCGGTTTTAACTGGCTTCAGCTTCCTGTCATATAAACTATATCGTTCAATAAGATGAATGTAGTTGTGTTATTGTCCGTATTAAAATAGTGTGATGGTAAAGCTGTGTGTTTTCTATGAGCAAGTGGAAATAAATATATTTGATGTGAATACTCTTTATACAATCTAGAGACATACCTTAACATAGACTAAAAAAGAAAAGGACACAATCAACAATATAATAACTAGGATGTGATACTTGATGGAAATGGTATTTTTATGATATGTACCATGCCTTATATCCAGCCATTTTGATGTAATGTTTGATACAGTTTTACTTCTGTATGCAATGAAAGTAAAAGATCGTCAGGCAGTTGAATTGTCTTTTATACAACTATCACCCCAATCTGATTAAAATACAGATCTATATTTCGTTTCCTTTTTTTGTACTTTCGATGGCTTACACTACATGATTATCTGGCCGGTTGTAGTGGAAGGTCGCATCAGGGGTCACATGAGCGGCTTTTGACCCAATGTGGTTTACCCACAGTTCTGTGCACTGCATGCCAAGAACTCGTAACAGACCGTTTCATTGGCTGTTCCCTCACATTACCCAGAACACAGCGTAGTAAGTAAAGACAAGTAAAAGGAAATTTTGAACTATACAAAACGAAACGAAATAGGATCTGTGTTTTAATCAGATTGGTCATCACCCCTGTCCGTTTCTCCATCCTTGCATTTTATTTTTTTTTAGATTTATAAAAGATGCCCAGATTATTTGGCTATTGGAAGAAACACTATTAAAATTCTGTGACATAATTAAGTTGCCATGTCTTTACAAAAATTCATAAATCACTTGACAAGCCAGATTCTTGCTGTGGTTAAAGTTGGAACTTTGACATTATTTTTGTCAGATTTTAGTTGCTCCATGCATTGATATATTGACAGTATTAGTATATATGGGTTGAAGGTGTTTAGATATGATCTGACATCCTATCTTTTATGTTTTGTCTATTTTAATTTTTATTATTTCTCAACTGTTTTGTGAATCAGTTCTATGTATATTAAATAATTTGTTTTGTAGTTTATCCTTGAAACTTCAATATACTGATTTTGTCAAATATCGCCTTTTTTTCACTTTCCCACAACATTAAAAAAACTTTTTTGTTGTCAGTTTGATTATGTTGAAATGGTGTAGGTATTTATTAGGAAAATGTTTAACATGGAGTGAGTGTGACAAATTTGGCATATAGTTTCATAACATCAGTATACCCAGATTATGTTCAATAATCAGCATTTTCTTCTGCAGGGTGAGAAGCAGTTAGATTGGTTGAGACTATTGGACGAGAGATGACCTTGATCCTAATTTAGTGATAGTGATGAAATTTATTGTATCGTTTCATTACTTTGACTATCTTCGATAATGACCATTTTCAGCTCAGGGTAGGCAGAGTGACAACAATAGTGCAATAGTTTATAATAAAGATAAACAATTTTAAAATAATTATTTTTGAGTGTCATCTAAATTTGAACTTGCTACCTGTCTTCATTAACCCAGTCGGTACAAAAAAGTAGGACATTTAACCCCATTTCATTTCACTTCAAACTTGCCATGACCACTAATCAGCATTGTCCTTGTCATCAAGATCAAAACTGTGTAATCGTTCTCTGGGTCAGAGTCTTTTTATACGCCCACATTAAAATGTAGTCATATATTGTTGTCTGTCAGTCCGGCCTCCACAATTAATATCTTATTGACTTTAAATTTATACACAGTGTTGAAGGTCATGAGATGAAGATGCCTATTGATTTTCAAGGATTATCTGATAATTACTGCCAGAGTTATGGCCCTTGATCATTTTGAAAAACCTTGAGGGCATTCTAGAGGCTAAAGTTAATATCTGACTGACTTTAAATTTATACAGTGTTTAAGGTAATGAGAAGAAGAACCTTATTGAATTCTGATAATTACTTCCAGAGTTATGGTCCTATATATATTGTATAGGGCAGAACTAGAAGCCCAAATAAATTTTAAGGATTTCTGATAAATTAGATTTTAGTGTGTCGTAAATGTTTTCTTTACTGACAAAAGAAAAAATATGTGACAAGCCTGGTTGACTGTCCAGGTGACTTAGCTGCTGTGGGCGTATGTTTTTCGATGTCTTGCAAATTATCTTTGATTTTGCTGGTAAACATTTTGGGATTGACTAGTTACATTATGAATGAACCCCATCAGTTACCTTTTCCAATTGTCATCAAAATCTTGCTTGGATTGTGAAGAAATTCATTTGAAAACATTAAAATGGTTTCAAACTTTATAAACAAATCATTAGACTACTCAATTGCTAGTGGGCGTATCTTTCATTGCCTGAAAACCTACTTTATCAGAGTACAAGAAAGGTATTTCTTTCTTTAAATATAAATAAATCAAAATATACAATGGTGAAGAAATGTGAGTAGCAGGCATTTAAATCCAAACATCAATAAAGCATAAAGCTATTATCTCTTAAAAGATGTGTAATTTATTGTATTCTCAAGTAACTTATTAACAACCGGCCCTGTAATCTGTAGATCAACTTGAAACAATATCTTGTGTACATGTAGAAGATTAAATAATCCAATATAAATTGGATTTGAATAAATAATTTTTATCAGAAACCACAAGTTGACTTTTGTTGTGTGATTCAGTCTGTAGGGTCCCTATAATAATGAACAAGACTCACAGTTACATGTATTCCTTCCTCAGAATCTCTTGGTAAAGAACAAACAACGTCCCCAAATAGTCCAAAGGCCACAGACAACTGTACCTCAGAATTAGAAAATGGTAACATATTTTGGGGATCGCACGGAAACTTAATAATATGAAGGCAATTCGGATAAAGAACCAGGTTTTATCTATTCAGAGTCAACGTAATTATACTGATGGGGAAGTTGAGAGACTTTCACCTAAAGTTATTTTTATAAGAATATCACAAACTCGCCAATTCAGGTAACATCACGAACTATCCTTACATTCTTCTACCCCAACTTAATTCCTTATTGTGAAAGTCCAAGATTAGGGGGGCAAAGGCACGAGCTTCAACTAGGGGTGGGAATGCAGTCTTTCAGGCACTGATCGTTGAGATAAACAGCGCCAAAGTGGGGAGTCCTTACGTAGGGTATGGGGGACCTCCCCAGAAAATTTTGAAAAATAGACTGCCGGAAATGCTGTCTGACAGTATTCCGTTAGGCACCGATAGTCTAGATAAATAGAGCTGACCAGATACCGTCGGTCGCCTGATCACTGGCTCATCCGGCCAGAGAAGAAAGTGTCAAACGAACGGACTTGAGAACGTCAACGAAGTCGGGTCCTTATGGAGGGTATTGGGTACCTCCCTAAGAAAATTTTGAAAAATAGACTGCCCGAAATGCTGTCTAACAGTATCCAGGCACAGATTGTCAAGATTAATAGAGGTGACCGGATACCGTCTGTCGCCTGATCACTAGTTCATCCGAACCCAGAGAGAAAATATTCCTGAAACAATGGTCCGAGAAATCCCGTGTACCGATGGTTAAATGGTTATTTTGTCTTAAATATTCGATATCAGAAGCCCATCTTTTCCCGGTAAGATCACAGCTGCGCATCAATGTTGTTTTAAATTGACAAATAATTCGCCTTTTCAATGTCGAAGACTTAGCACTGAGCAGTCGAATATTTCATTCCATCTCATTTCTGTTGTATCTATGACAGGAAGGTTTCATGCTTACCAAAGTGAAACTCATCCAAGAACTTTTGATCCTCAACACATAGTTTAATTTTCATCTCATGAATTGGACAAAAATTGTCGCCTCTGGGAGGTCCACAAACTTCATTCATATTTCACATTTTGCGTAAAGGGCATTTGGCATAACTCCAGAACGGAAGGTCTGATGCGCACCAAACATGAACTCACAAAAGAACTAGTGATACTTAAACACTCGTTTTAAGTTCCATCAAAATCGGATAAAAATTGTTACAACCTTGGTAACATACTTTTACACTTTTTTGCGTAAAGCGGAGCGGCCATTAACGCGAAGTTTCGGTCCGATTTTCAAGACATTCGGATCCAACCATAATTATGGTATAACGGTGATATTTTAACGATTATGTTGGCTTTTCGAGATATATCACCGTAAACATAGGCCTACGTAAACTATGGGGGAATCAGGTTAGGGTAGGCTCAAACTAGCTTTGGTCGCTTCACGATCTTTATTTCACCAACTCGACAGATGCATAAGGTATGAACATGCCAAATTTCATTAGCTTTCTATGTTGGCGTATCGAGTTATACCACCAATAAGTTCCTAGCACTCGGATTCGAGGCGGGGTTCGTGGGTTCAATAAACATCAAAGCTTGTTTAGAAGTTACAGCGTGCGCAGTGATCCTACCCTACCCCCCCCCCCTCCATATATTTAGTACGTTTACGGAATTATATCTCGAAAAGCCAACACAGGAGGCTTCTTGAATTTTGCAGTCTAGTAGTTTATTAATCCCTTGATTCTGTGAAATAAAAAAACATTTCGCCACCAAAGCTGGTTTCGGTGCTTTTTGATGCAAAATGGACGTGCCCCCTTTCTGCGTGCTCAGTTAGCCTAATGTGCTATATTTTAGTATGTTTACGGTAATAGTATATTTTTTGGGTGGGGTCTAGATCGTCGGAGACGCTTTCTAAGCGATTTCTGGCTAGTAAAATTACTTAGCATTGAAGTTTTTATATTTAATAATCCCTTCCATGTAAGCACTGCAGACGATGGCGATTTTCTGTGATGCTGAACTGAATAAATAATAATAATGCATAATATACCAAGATTGTACTAAAAATCACATTTTTAGCGTGTGGGCCCTCTAGAGGTCACAATTTTTATTGATTGTAAAACCGTTCAAATATATCACAGTTACCTGAACATCGGACCGGAACTTCCCGTCAAATGACCGCCACCACGCTAATAGTGTAAAAAGTAATAAAAAGGTTGTGGACCCTCTTGATGCAACAATTTTTATCTGATTATCGATATAATAGTTAAAAAATAGATAACGTAAATAAAATTGCTCCATGCTCCACTCTGAACCGAGATGTTAGCTTTTGATAAAAACAAAGTCTCGATTATCCATTTTTACTTTCATTTTCACGTTGTGTATTTTCTTCTTACTACTATCTCAGTAGTTAAGATGTTTGTGTTACCAGGAATAACAATGCAACAGTTCGTTTTTATATTTTATGTATCAAGCACTGGTTACATAAGATACAAACATAATATATTACAATAAAGTCATTCTCTTAATCCCATCCACCCAGACTCGCTGGGAGTCTGCTGATAGAAATTGATACAGCTTCTCCCTCTGGAATCTAGCGGCTGTCTGACGAATGCCCAGAGATATGATAGTTTTGTAGCTTTGGGTTTGGACTTTCAATTATCTAATTGGTCAAATATTACGTAATTAATTATTATGATTGGTTACTTAAAGATACATAATCGGAGATTAGATAAAGAGCTGGCAGTTCTCGCTATAATAGTTAAAAAACTAGATAATGTAAAGGGAATTTGCTAAAATTGAACTGAGAATTTAGCGATTGAATTTTCGGTCTAGCCTCATCATCATTACTAAAGTCGGTACGATAAAAAAAACATAGTCTCGGTTATCCATTTCATGACTAAATCATGAATGAAAGTTGAGCAGCAAATCGGATCCTAATCCAGTAGACCTCGCAGGCTAGCGATGGCATCGAGAGTTGATTATGGTCTAGATAAGTTAATTAATGTCTGATTAATAAATTAGATAATATTTCAGGCCTCAAGAAAGACCTGAAAAGGGCAGATTTAGCTCTTGCATAATGTATGTTTAAGCCAAATGTTGCAATCGTAATTTTCCGATCACGCGTTATCTGGTGATATTTTGTTGACACATAGAACCAGCTATGTTTTGGTTTTATAACTCTTTTTTTGTGTAAATCCGTCACTCATTATTTGGGTGCATGAGATCTGACTTCTATAGAATGTGCCAACCAAGTGATTAGTTAAAGATATAATATAATGCTATCATTAATTTAAAGAGCAAAAATTCTAACAATCTTACTACAATCACCCTTTGCTGTTGGCGTACCGTTATTTCAAATTATGTACAGGCAACGTGCCAATCGTACATTGTTTTATACTAGATAAAATGTTTTACTTGACTGACGGTTTCATTGATATGCAGGTTTTATTGATTTGGGAAAGGGTCTGTATTTTAAGTTGTTAATGGTCTCGAGTAATATATATTGAAACATTTCTCGGACTAATGTCCCCCTCGTGCAGTATCAATATAGGACCTATTACTTAATGTCTCGACCATTAAACAACATATTTCAGGTGGTATTGTGTGATACATATAAAGAAATACGGTTCGGAACGGACGGGGATGTATTTACTGAAAACCTTTATACAGGTTTGCAATGGGGTCTAGTTGGAGGACACACACACACACACACACACACAATATCCAAATGGGATTTATATGATAGCTCCCGCATTCACCGATGGTTCCTGTTATCTCTATAGCCTTTCCTTTTTTTTTCTTTTTTTTTTTTTTGACTTTGTCTAGAATCGAAGAAGATGTTTGGACTGACATTTCTGTCAAGCGGAAGGACGGTGCTTAGAGGTTGATTACGGTATAAGATAGTAATTATAGGTTGATTAGATGCTATGGTCAAAATTTCCAGGGCAGCTTCATTAAAAACTTTCGCTTTGGAGGGAGACATTCCCAGATGTTGCTACTTCTGTGGCAGAGAGCTTCTAGACCAACGAAAACTTTGGGGAAAGTTGCAGTCTGGCAAAGGGTTAAGTTGTATTTACTGGGATGGTTTGGTGGTCTGCTTCCAAAAACATGGGAGTTACCGTTCTTTGATGGACTAACCGTGTAACGTCATGAACTCAATTAATGAACTTGGCGAGAAAGGGTATCATGATCAAAACTTGTAGGCTCTACATGCATGGATGGCTAAGACCGGTGGTGAGTAGTGTCATACCAAGTTATGTTTGATGAATTTTTCTATATTCGAGATGAATTTGATTTAAAAGGCTTGTTGATGTAATTTTCTGTTTCAGAATTTAGATCTGTTCATTTTTTAGATCCATTTCAATTTTGCATTTCATATCATCCATGTCGATATCGTCAGTGTGTCTACGTAGTAGTACGTCTTACTTAAGGATGTTGATCGACACCTTTGCCTTTACTGCTTTAGCTTAGGTGACAAAACAATCACCACTCCCTTGACAACAATAAGCTATCTTTTTCGAGCGGATGACTCTTATTTCAAACTTTTACCAGTGTTTAGTGGTGATATTTCAGCGAGTTTTACTCAAGTCTGAACCACTCCCAACCACGTAATTGTATGGATCTCAATTTTTCACCTGGATCTAATTACTGTTATCGATAATGTTATATTATAGTTTAGCTGAAATCACCAGTTTGTTATTATTGTGAGCTTTTATTGACATTTCAAGATGTACTTTTATTTTTCATTTTAGTTAATGGTGGTTGTCGATTTCAACATTTAATCTGGATATACACATAACATTAAATTTACAATAGAACTATTTAGAGATAAATTATATAAGAATGTCGTCCAAACCAGAAGTAATAATACAAGTGACATATGATACAGAACGATTTGTTTCTTCAACAATAAAATCTGTTGGTGCAGCAACTTTTTATGGAGTTGTTTCTGTTGCAACAGCCTTTGTAAATAAAGGCTTAATGAGCACACATGACTTTGATTTTCCTGTCATAGTGATGGTGGCCCAAATGATCTTTACAATTGTTCTACTGGAGACTTTACGATTTTTTGATTTAATAGATCTTCCTGCATTTACTCTTAAACGTGGTCGAGCCTTTCTATGGCCAGCTGTATTCTATGGGATTAATGCTGTGTTGGCACTGAGTGCTCTGTCTCATATGAACATAGCAATGTATGGTGTTCTAAAGCGCTGTGTTCCCATATCAACTCTCATTCTGTCTGTTTATATTTTAAAGAAGACGTTTCCATCAAAGATGACCATAATATCAGTTGTCTTTCTTAGTGTTGGATGTTTAATAGCAGGTATGTATAAAACACTCTCTTCATACCAATTCATTTTGTAAAATAAAACAGAAGCCTCTTTAATTTTTATAGCATGGTACATGTACACCAAATGGTTGGTGTATTGTTAATTTTAAGTTGTTAATGTTTTAGGGTTACGACAAAATACTCCAACATATACATGCTACAACAGGTCCTTCTGAATATCACACTTTTTGGGATACAAGAACTCTGCTTACAACTAAGCCAGCTTATAAGTAAGCTAGGGACAGGCTTATGGTGTTTTAAAATTTTAAAAATTTGCTAGGGCAGTTTATCAAGTCATGAGGAGGAACTCTTACTCTATTCAAATTCAGTTTTGACCCCGAAAACATGAAAGCCACCCTTCAAAACTCTACAGGTAAGCATACATTCACCATCTGCCAACATGTTTTTTTATTAGTGATTAATCAAGCTTTCATGTCTTGTGTTTCTTTGTATAGGTTATGGAGATCTTGGTTTTAATCCAGTAGCGTATATATGTGGAGGTCTAAGTAATTTTACTCAAGCAGTGTATCTCATACTGGTTCAAAAGTTTTCTCAACAAGACATGACAACTGCACAAACTTTACAGCTGAATAGTTATAATACATTACCGTTACTTCTGTTATATTCCTGTATAAATCGTGAAATTATTGATATGTGGCAATATAAACATTTTTACAGTATACAATTTATTATCATGTTTTTCTTGGCTATAAGCATGGGCTGCTTATTAAATTATTCCTTGTTCATGTGTGCCAGTCTCACGTCTGCACTTACTACCAGTGTTGTTGGTGGATTAAAAGCCTTAGCCCAGACACTGCTAGGATTATTCACGTTTGGTGGGGTCAGTCATAACCTTGCTACATACACTGGTATCAGTGTGAATCTCTCAGGAGGTATTTTATACATTTTTTCAAAATATAGAGAAAATCGCAAAAACAAATCCTATGATATGAAAAAGGTGATGAGTATATCCTCTGCTGAAGACTTTAAAGACTTAGCTAATGGACATGTTGTGAATGGAAATCCAGTACAAAAAAGTATTGGTACTTTTTTAACAGTTGATCATCAGAAGTCAGAATCTTGATGCTTGCAAAATATGAGATTCCATCTCATTTGATTAAAATTTCAGATTCACAGGGATTTCCCTTTATTTTAAATATTCCATAGATTTTGATATTAGGAAATAGTATTTTCAAAATTGCAGATGTTAAAAATGATCATAGAGTGGTTTCTGAAACATATAAAAAATGAATTGATATTAGATTGAAGTCAGATAACCATGTATCTGTAGTATGAAATCGAAGTTGTAAAAAAAATAAAGAAGATGGTTGTACCATCATGTTCTATCCACTTTGTATTTTGAGTACTGCTTGATTCTTTGCATGACTATTCACTGCCACTAGACGTTGTAGTCAAATGTAATATTCTCATCTATGTTTTTTATATCTTGACAGATACTGATAATTTTATTTTTACAACCAATACACTAGAAATTTGACCATCTTTAAATTTCAGTTGACCAAATTGATTTCCCAAGTTAAAAAATGAATTGTCTTTAAATTGCCTCTGTATCAATACTTTAAATACTTATTTATTTTTGATCCAACTTCCAGTGTATCAGTTGTAATACAAACAGTATTTAAAGATAAATGGGAGATTAGATAAAGAGCTAGCAGTTCTCACTGTAATAGTTAAAAACTAGATAATGTAAAGGGAATTTGCTGAAAATTTCATTCAAATTGATCCACTCTGATCCAAGATTTTAGCGATTGAATTTTCGACCTAGCCTCGATCATCATTACGATAAAAAACATAGTCTCGATTATCCATTTCATGATTAAATCATGAATGGAAGTCGAACAGCAAATCGGAACCTAATACAATAAACATCGCAGGCTAGCGATGACATCGAGAGTTGATTATGGTCTGGATAAGCTAATTAATGTCTAATTAATAATTTAGATAACATTTCAGGCCTAAAGAAAGACCTAAAATAGGCAGATTTAGTTCTTGCATAATGTATGATTAATGGTAGCGAGAGGTCCTCCAGAGATGGTGACCATTTGATTAGTATCTAGATGATATTTCCTTGTGCAATTGAAATTTGAGGTGTGCGATTTACCTTAAATTGTGACAGTATGAAAATATCACTTGATTGCTTGCCTTTACCTGTAATTGTTTATAGTGATGTATCACATGACATTTTATAGTTTGCCTTTTAAGGAGAAATGCAGTCATTATCATCTAGTATTTCAATAGTTTAAGCTATGTTTAACCCAAATTAACACACTGACTATGAGTGTAACTACTAATAAAAAAACAGAGTAATTGTTATAGCACACACAGAGGCGTAGCCGTGAAATATATATTGGGGGGGTCCGCAACCCTAACCCCTAACCCATTTTTTAAAACCCCTAAAAAATATAAAACACCATGTGGCCATGCTGTCTACCAAGACACCGCATGCAAAAGCATTATGGTTACGTTTCTGGCTGAGCGGGCGATAAATATTTGGTATAGGCGGTTATGTTATTGGGTATCTACATGCGATTCACTCTGATAAGTGGCAGAAAAAAATTAACAAAATATTACTGACAGGCTAACTAGACACAGTTTTATGGAACACAGGTACTTATCACTTCACACATGTTTCCAGGATGATTATCTCTGTGTTTTATTTTAGCAGTGTAAACCATATTGGGATATGTACAGGTTTTATACAGATAGAATCTTAACTAATCCTAATATTAATTGTTGTAAATAAATAGGAGTTTGGGCCTACTATAAAAATTTGGGGGGGGGGGGGGCAAGTATATTCAGCCCCCCCCCCCCCCGAAAAACAATGTGTGACGCCCATGAGCACACATATACACAATGACTCATAATCAATGACTGACAATTACTCTGAAAACGTCACTGTCTTAATTTGTTATTTAAATGCAAAAATATTTGTACTTCTGGCCTGCATTGTGAAAATTATTGTAAATTTTGCCTTTAAAACCCCAACAATCCAGAATAAAAGTTAAATATAGAGTTGAAGATGACACACAATGTCAAACATCATTAAAATTGTATTGCCATTTAAAGATAACATTGATTTCACTCTGCCCCCTTTTTGTGACAAACATTTTCCGACGTGGTTTCCTCTAGTCAGTGGTGCAGGACGGAGGGCCTGACAAGGACAGCTTTCTAGTCATTCGGATGGTACGAAAAAACCAAGGTCCAGTGTACACATTGGCATACACGTAAAAGATCCTTGGCAGTTGGAATTCGATATAAGAGTAGGCCCTAGTGCCGGACAAAATTTCCCTCATAGCACACTATATGATGTACGTCTGTCTTCATTAGCTCCGTCAGGACTAACACATGGTTCAATTTTATTTTAATAATACGCTTACACGTAGGGGTCATTAGCAATAGGAGGAAACAGGAGGATCCGGAGAAAACCCATGAGGTTGGACAGGCGATCCTACTCCTTGTCTCGTAAACCAGGGAATCGAAACCACGCCATATGACTCAATGACAGACCTTATTGCTAACCATTCGGCCATCCAGTCTCTCAGCCCAGTCGGAATACAACAGTAGGGTGTTGAACCCTACTTCATTTCTTAGACAAACATAATAATAATAATTCTTCCACCTTTCCCGTTCTTGAAAAAATAGTCAACGCATTCTTAGTGAAGTATTTTTTAAACCTTACATACAGGCACAGTATTTCAGATTTAAAGGTAATACAGACTTACAGTCTGTACACAGTAAAAAAATAGTCTCATCAAAAAGCATATTAGTGTTAAATTATTTAAATCGAATCAATCAATCTAGTTATGGTCATCAAGGCCAGATGAAGACCATTTAGAGACCCAAGAAAAACAGTTTATGATAGAATTAACAATACTTAACCAAAAAATATATATTAATCTTTCAAAATTAAACAAAACATTAATATTCTTCTTATAGTTGCATATATGCCATTTTTTTGTCATTGGTTGTTGGGCCTGGTTGAGCTGCACCATTGTAAATCCAGTACTGGAATAAACCGTTGTGGTGCCTTTCTTCTCAGCATGTTCTTATTTCACTTAATCATTAAGTTAATGGCTGTTGGTCATCAAAAGTTCTCACTACTTTCTATTTATTTTATGAACTCATTAATTTTAGAATGTCAGCAAGCTAGGGTCAAAATCGAAAATTAGAATTATAGAAGGAAAACATAACTTATGGAAAACAATCACTGTTTTTTACTTATAGAACTTGATAATAAACAGAGAATACTTGTCGATAACATTGTGCTATATGTGTATAAATCAGTGTTTATTTTTCATAAAATTTATGTGGTTTTTTTTTTAATGTGCTCAGTCGCTATATGCCTCTTTAGTATACTATTATATTCTGGTCCTCTGTATGTTTAAAATACATGTAGTATATATTTTGAAGATATGTGAATGTTGAATGATCTGGCTTGTTGTGCCTTTAAGTATATATATGTGTATATATGATTACATTTATGTGATTAACATTGGGGTTTACAATATTAATTTATATACCGGTAACACTATTTATTTTTTTTGCAAAGGATTTGTTATTTTTGATGTAAATAAAGTTTGGTTTACATGTCAATGATGTTCTGGTTTTATTGACCACTTTAAGAATCAAATTTGTATATCAGTGTTGTATTTATTCTCCTGGTTTATTAAATAATAAAGCATATATAATTATTCTTTTAGCAAAAAAAATGTTTTGTTTTAATTTTTATCTGTAAATGTATTTTATAACTGATCAAACTAAGAAGATATCAAGTATGTTATTTGCATGCAAAGTACACCAGACCTCACAGTTTTTCATCCCATATGAATGGATAAACACTGTCCTTACACCCACTGACAGGGGAAACCTTGCAAGAAAATTCTGGGGATCATTCTCTCGACCAACACTGGGATTGGATCTCCTGATTAGTGAGCCTGTGCTTAACTCGTTGAGTCACAGCAATTCCAAAAATCAGTAGGGTTTTGAATACTGAAGTATTTTGTGACTGACTGGCAAAGCAAGTCTGTTGTTGGCATATCACTTCAGTAGAAATGGACATTACATAAAGCTATTTCACACACATGCTAGTGTGTGCTGTGGGTAATTTTCTGAGGCATGTCTCTACCGACCATTAGTAAATTTACAACCAGGGTATCGAAACCATGCCATCCCCCAGCCCAGTCGGAGTACAACAGTAGGGCGTTGAACCCCATTTCATTTCTTAGACAAACATAAAAATAATAATTCTTCCATCTTTCCCATTCTTGGAATAGTCAACGCATTCTTAGTGAAGTATTTTTTAAACAGTCCTTACATGTACATACAGGCACAGTACTTCAGATTTAAAGGTAATACAGACTTACAGTCTGTACACAGTAAAAAATAGTCTTATCAAAAGGCACATTAGTGCTAAATTATTCAAATCGAATAGATCAATCAAGTTATGGTCATCAAGGCCAGATTAAGACCATATCGAGACCCAAGTAATAAAAAGTTTATGATAGAATTAACAATACTAAACCAAAAAATATATATTAATCTTTCAAAATGAAACAAAACATTAATATTCTTCTTATAGTTCCATATATGCCATTTTTTTGTCATTGGTTGTTGGGCCTGGTTGAGCTGCACCATTGTAAATCCAGTACTGGAATAAACCGTTGTGGTGCCTTTCTTCTCAGCATGTTCTTATTTCACTTAATCATTAAGTTAATGGCTGTTGGTCATCAAAAGTTCTCACTACTTTCTATTTAATTTTCGATAATTACAGCCAGAGTTATGGCCCTTGATCCCTTCAAAAAATCTTGTAAATACTCTAGAGGCTAAAGTTATCATCCGATTGACTTCAGATTGATACAAAGGGTTTGAGGCCACGAGACAAAGAATCATATTGATTTTCAACGATTTCTGATAATTACTGCCAAAGTTATGGCCCTTGATCACTTTGAAAAATCTTGTGACGCTCTAGAGGCTAAAGTTATCATCCGATTGACTTCAGATTGATACACAGAGTTTAAGATCTTGAGATGAACAAGTATATTGATTTTCAATGAATTTTGATAACTTGAACAGTTAAATCCATGATATTAAATTTTTCGTATACTAAACGTTAGCATTGGGCAGAACTTTATATAAACCAAACAAATTCTAATGGTTTTCTGATAATTACTTAATGAGTTGTTACTCTTAATCTGATTTTAATGTATTATAAATGTTTCATTACCGAAAAAAGTAAAAATATGCGACAACTCTTGTGACGCTCTAGAGGCTAAAGTTATCATCCGATTGACTTCAGATTGATACACAGAGTTTAAGATCTTGAGATGAACAAGTATATTGATTTTCAATGAATTTTGATAACTTGAACAGTTAAATCCATGATATTAAATTTTTCGTATACTAAACGTTAGCATTGGGCAGAACTTTATATAAACCAAACAAATTCTAATGGTTTTCTGATAATTACTTAATGAGTTGTTACTCTTAATCTGATTTTAATGTATTATAAATGTTTCATTACCGAAAAAAGTAAAAATATGCGACAACTCTTGTTGACTGCCCGGACGTATGTTTCGTTGCCTGGCAACCATCTTTTTATTTTACCTTGACATTTTATTGCTTTAAATCTTCCTAGTGCAAAACGGTAAATTTCACCTAAAGGTGAATTTAGCAAGTACATGTATACATTTTTATTGAAAGTGTGATTATTTTCGATCATTTTCAGCTTTCACTTTCAGTGCAAATGACCTCATTTGATTACCAATCGGCATCGTATTCTACGCAAATTTTTACTCTAGAAAAGTTAGGTATGGTTTTGTGCCCATTTGCTCCGATCTAATGGGTAGGTTGCTTTGGTGGTGCTCATGGAGATGAGGAAGGAGAAAATCCCCTTTTTTTATCCATATATTTCGGCCATCTGTTTCCACACCACTCTGGATTTTAACCAAATTTTGTACTGATTTGTTGCTTGCGTAACTGGTTGAGGAATATGTTTTACTGACTCCTTGGTAGGTATGTTTTTTTTTGGGTAGTTCACATGGCAGCTTAGAGAGTTCCTTCGGGAGTCTTTAAAGGCAAAATATGAAAAGAAATGGGGTTTAAAACATCCTACTTTGCTGCTCCATCCAGACCCATGAAGACGGGCATATTCCATCCATACAGAATGCAACAAGGGACATTTTGCCCTACAGCCTACTCTTATTTCCAACTGTCAAGAGTTCTTTTATGTGCATGCCAATTGCCAATGTGTATATGTGACCTGTTTTCCGTACCATCTGAAGGACTGGACACCGTTCCTTTCCAGGTCCTGCGTCCTGCACTACCAACAAGAGGAAACCACACTAGAAAATCTTGAGAAACTTTCTTATCTTACCCAAGACAACCAGGTTAGCAGGCCAGTGTGGCTCCCCAAAAGGCAAAATAAAAATATTCAAATGTGTTTAAAATCAAGTTGCTAGGGCCTTTAAATGACAGAGAAATAATGAATAATGTTCATAAGCAAGAGTTATTGAAGATCAGGTAATTTGGTTTCGAGTCGGTAATATTTCACATCATCAATCCAGCAAGTTAGGGCAATTGGGAAATATTCAATAAAGAACAGCTGGTTTGTAAAAACGTTTAATGCAAATTTATATTTACATGTACTATCATATCCCCTGGAAGACATTTTTAATTAAAAGTAAACAACCTACATTTGCATGGGACTGATGAAATACAATAGATACATTTTTTATGGGACTGATGAAATATACTATAATTAAATATTTCTATGGAACTGATGGTCGTTAAAATATTTTTAAAGGAAAAATCCAGCCCTTGCAGATTTTTCATATATTATTCATTATCAATTATTAAAATAGTTTTCATATGCACAGCCGAAAATAGAAATCTTTTTGCCATTAAGAAATTATACCCCAACTGTTATCCACTGCTATTAGAACTTTGGTTTGACATGGTTGAACTACTTTAAAGGAGCTAATCGCTAACATTTGGGACCTAGAAATTCACAAAAGTGGGTCGCAACGCATATAATACTGTAATATGAATGTATATAAACTGATTTACATTTAATGGTTTCCGTTTTTACTCCAATTTCAAATCAGTTATGTTCGGTGAAATAAGTCAGCAATCTCAATTGAGTTCAAATTTCTAGCGTCTAGTTATTCTAGTCTACATAACTCCATTTGATTTGGTGCAATGTGTCTAGCCTCGTCCCTCAATACAACTGGGGCTGAAGCGCATTATGGTACACGATTCGTGTACCAATGTTAAAAAAATTATTTTATCTTAAATATCGGATATCAGAAGCTCATCTTTTCCCGGTAAGTTTACATCATCGATGTTGATTTAAATTGACCAATAATTTGTGTTTTCGATGTCGAAGATTTTGGAGGATTTTTAGTTATGGACTTAGGTCCTTTAATAATTATATATGAATACCATATCATAACAGCTGTATTGAATGAATGAAATGTGTTTTAATGTCCTACATTTCTAAGTTTTAATCAGGCTAATGAAGTTTAGCATACCCCATGCAGTGTGCTATGAGGGAAATTTTGCCAACACAGCAATTGAATTCTAACTGTCAAGGGTTCTTTTATGTGCATTCCAATCCAAGGTGTACACAGGACCTCAGTTTTTTGTTGCATCCAAATGACTAGACATTGTACCTTGCCATGCCCACCATCCTGCACCACTGACAAGAAAGAAACCACACTGGAAAATCCTGAGTAGGCCTAACTTTCTTGGTCAACACGGGGATCAAACCCCAGACCTCCTTGTTAGTTTAACAGTGCCTTACTCACTGAGTGCCTGTAGTGAAGGCATTAGATCTTTCAAAGATAGCCATGTAGAGCGTGGAATACACCCACACAGCAGCTTTGTCTCAACTGCAGCTTATCCGGAAGGAAAACTTGGAATGGAAAGTCGCAGAACGCTGAAAATTGATAGGGTTTGTCCTATAATGACCAAATTTAAAAATAATCCGTCAAATACTCAAGCCTCTATCGCGTTCACAAGCCAATTGTTGACGGACCAAGGGACAGGGTGAAATTTGAGCATATAAAAATGGAATAAAATAAAAAGAAAAACTTTATGTTCATCCATCCATGACCACATTGCTACACACCAAATTGGAAAATAATCCGTAGAAGACTGTAGCCTCTATTGCGTCACAAGTGTTTTGGAATAAGGAGCGTAACTCAGGAACATAAAATGAAATGGAAATGAAATGAGATTTAACGTCCTACTTTTCTGCTCTGACTAGGCTAATGAAGAAGGGAACTCTGGAGCGAAAAGTCTCAGAACACTGAAAATTGATAGGGTTTGTCCTCGAATGACCAAATTTAAAAAGAATCCATCAAATACTCAAGCCTCTATCGCGTTCACAAGTCAATTGTTGACGGACCGAGGGACAGGTGAAATGTGAGCATATAATTATGGAATAAAACAAAAAGAAAAACATATTATGTGAAAAAATTCAATGAAAAACAAAAAATGCCTGTATAAACAGAGTATTACCATAATTGAGTTGAAAGATTCTAAGCAGCTAAAAAATAAAGCCTCATTGATTTTTAAAAGTCAAAATCCAATGAAATTGACATTTTTAATTTTGACCTAAATCGAAAACATCTAGTCAATTTAATATTTAATTCCTTGCTCATAAAATGGATAATACCAACAAACATCATAATAACAATACAAGCATCCAATATATATAGATATACATTTTTATGGGTCTAGTATTTAACTATATACAGATTAAACTATAAAGCCGAGTTCATGTTATCAATTATTTGATAAAAATTAAGGAATGTTTTCTGATTTTTTTTCCTCAAAACAACATTACTGCTACTATTTAATATGAACCCTGAGAAATTTTTTTTCTCTTTCAGTCCAACTTTTCTCCCAAAAAATCATTTTGAAACAGTACAGACTTCTCAAAAAGAATTTTAATAATCTTTTTCAAATCACTGGACCATGTAGGCCTACAATAGAGTACACTGTTCAATAACCCAAATATATTGTACAGTGTTTTTATACACACACCTGCTACTCCTACATGATATTGAGACTGTATGCCCAGGATAGGTGGATAAAATGTTCCAAATTGATTTATTACATACCGTCACTGTCACATGAATTTCAAACTGGTATTTTTCCTTTTGTTTTTAAAGAGGAATTATCACTCATCAAGAAAAGTAAATAAAACTAGACGTGCCAGGCAGATATTAAAGCTTTCATATTCATCGTCATGTGTTATGGATTATATCAAGCATCTTAAAACGAAAAAGAATTATAAAATTCGGTCAAAAACTGGCTAAGTTAAAACGAGAAACATTTCACCCGGGCAAAAGAGATAACTGACACTTACATTGGTGTAATCGGAGAGACCTCCCTTTCCATAAGTTTCACAAAAAATCGATCAAGCCGTTTAAAAATGAGAAGAAAAATGAATTATTAAGATCCACCAAAAATTGGCAGTTATACAGAGAGAGAGAGGGAGAGAGAGAGAAATGAGGTTTAACGGTGTCCCCTTGACACAAACTAGGTCATTTCAGGACTGGCACATGGTTCAATTTTATTTCAATAATTCGCTTGCGCGTAGGGATCTTTAGCAGTGGGAGAACACTGGAGGACCCAGAGAAAATCAACAAGGTTGGAATCCAAACCTCGGCAGTTGATTCAATGACAGACCTTATGATACAGCGTGCACGTGCTAACAAAAAAAACGGCTAAATCATAACAACCAGGCCCCGAGTTCACAAAGCATTCTCAGACTTAAGTTAAGAATTTACTCAAAATTGTTCGCCTTATTTTAACTAAAATATAACCCTTTATAAAACTATTGTTGTTTTAATGTATCAAATACATCAATAAGAAACTATGTGCAAAGTTTTGTGTTTCTGGATCAACGATATTTCTCATAAACAGTGATTCAAAGTTGAGTAAATTCTTAACTTAAGTCTGAGAATGCTTTGTGAACTTGAAGTCTGGCACTTCCCATCAGATGTTAAAGATTTTGTCTATAATCTTAAACAGAAAAGAATTATTATCTTAGTTGTAATGATAAGAATTCAACGGGGCAAAATTTGACATTTTAAAAGTTGCACAGAACATTTGTTTACCAATCGATTTTGATCAAACTTTCAAAATAAGCACCAAATGACCTATCTAATCCTTTGTCATTAACATTTGACCTGATTTCAAAGTTTTTGAATATTAAGAAAAAAAGTGTTAAAGGCTCAATACCACTCTTGTTGTAACTGAATAATATGTCCCAATCTTTATTCTGGTCAACAAATGGTACTATTTTACAATATTCCAATTAATTGATGATACAAATTTCATCTTAACACACCTAATTTAAAAAATTGGAAAAATTCAACTAAATGATTTGAAAAGCCTGACGTAAAGCTTTTCAAATGTGACTTGGATTTAAAAATATTTTTGAACCCTCTGGACAAGTAAAATAGGATTTAATGGATAATTTACACAACAGGTAAGACACTAACACATCTTAGTACTTAGAATAAGGCTATTTGTTTATTTTCTGGAGCTGTCAAGCCAGCAAGAGTGTTATTGTCCCTTTAAACAAATTTGTTGGCATGAAAAACTTCAAAGACGAAATTCGAATTTTGACATTTTCAAATACCATAAATTCAACCCTCAGCCTAGCTATTGAGAAATATATTAACGTGGATTTTTCACTATGTTTCATATTGATTCAAAATAATGACCATTTGTTGACCGATATCAAAATTCGGCTCTCTACATTTTATAGGCATCACCTTTAAGGATGGATGCACTTCCGGTGCGATCGACAAACTTTATATTTTGTGCACGCATCAGTAGTGTCTTAGCTAGGGTAGAAAAAAAAGATTCAAGGTAATCTGACCTGCTTTTTTTTCGATTTTTTTGTTGAAAATTCTGATCCTTAAAGGAGCTAAATCGCTAATATTTTGGACCTAGAAATTGGCACAAATGAGTCGCAACACATATAATAATGTAATATGAATTTATATAAACTGTTTTACATTCAATCTTGTCCGTTTTACTGTGAATTGTCATCAGTTATGTTCGGCGAAATACGCCAGAAGTCTCAACCGCAAGTCAGTTTCTAGCGTCTTGTTATTCCAGTCAACACCGATATTATTTATTGCGCATGCTCTCCAAATAAGAATATGATATCTCCGTTTGACATGACTTGTGGAATATGTCTAGCCTCATTCTTTGAGCAACTTGTTACAAATGGCGCTGAAACGCATTATGGTACACGATTCGTGTACCAATGGTAAAATGTTTATTTTGTCTTAAATATTGGATATCAGAAGCCCATCTTTTCCAGGTAAGATCACAACACCAATGCTGATTTAAATTGCAAAATAATTCGTGTTTTCAATGTCGAAGATTTTGGATGATATTGAGTTACGGACTTAGCTACTTTAATTTCTCCAAGGGGAGATACGTTAAAAAATTTCCTATGACATCGTTCAAGTTGAATCAGTCAGATCTACTTACATTCCAAATTTCATGAAAACATGCTAATATTAAAGAAGTTGTCAATTTTGTCTCAACTTCTGGGACAAAATCACAGCAACAAATTATCGAAATTTGCAGGTGAAAATGAATTTTGTCAAGGTACTCAAAGAAAAAAGAAAAAATACCAGCGGCTGCCAGGCAGGATACGCCCACATTTTTGCAAGAGATGGATAGAGAACAAGCTAAAACAAAAAGCAATTTTTCGTGCAATCAAGGGCCATAATTCAGGAAGTTACAATCCGATATGCGCGAATATCAACAGGAACCAAGATCTTTGGGTTATAAAGATATGTTTTAGGTTTCATCAAAATAAGATCAAAATTGTGACTTCTAGAAGGTCCACATCCTTGATATAACCTTATATTTACACTATTTGCGATTTTCACGAAATTTGAGCTCGGCCATCATTAGGGTGTAATGGTGACATATTCAAATGTTTTTTTCAATCAGATAAATATTTTTACCTCTAGAGAGATTACAAGGGCAATCAAGGGCCATAATTCAGGAAGTTATGATCCGATATGCACAAATATCAAGAGGAACCAAGACCTTTGGGTTATAAATGGGTATTTCAAGTTCCATCAAAATCGGATCAAAATTGTGGGCTCTAGAGGGTTCACAACCTTGATATACCATATATTTACACTATTTGTGTACGAAGGGCGGCCATTTTGGTACGATTTTCACGAAATTCAAACTCAGCTATCATTAGGGTGTAACAGTGATATATTCATAAAAATTGTTACCTCTAGTAGTGACCACAAGCTAAAAATCGTGATTTTTCAGACCATCAAGGGCTATATTTCAAGAAGTTATGATCCGATATGCCCGAGTTTTGAAAGGAACCCAGATCTTTGGGTTATAAACATGTATTTCAAGTTTCCTCAAAATCGGATCAAAATTATGACCTCTAGAGGGTCCACAACTTTGATATACCATATTTTTACACTATTTGCGTACGAGGGGCAGCCATTTTGTCCGGAAGTTTTGGTCCAATTTTCACGAAATTCGAACTCAAGCATCATTACAGTGTCACGGTGATAATTCAAACGTTTTTTTATATCGGATAATAATTGTGACCTCTAAAGAGACCACACGCTAAAAATGTGATTTTTTTGTACAATCAGGGGCCATAATTCAGGAAGTTACAATCCGATATGCGCAAATATCGAAAGGAACCAAGATCTTTGGGTTTTAAACATGCATTTCAAGTTTCATCAAAATCAGATAAAAATTGTGACCTCTAGAGTATCCACAAGCTAAAAACATGATTTTTCGTACAATCAGGGGCCATAATCCATGAAGTTATGGTCCGATATACGCCAATATTGAAAGGAACCGCGATCTTTTGGAGATAGACCTATATTTGAAGTTTTGTCAAAATCAAATAAAAATTGTGACCTGTTGAGTCGGACGGTAGGACGGACGGACTGGGGCGACGACAATATACGTCCACATGAAAATGTGGGCATATAAAAATAGGAAAAAACCCCACAAAGTTACGACTATGCACTTGTGTCCATTTATTGTACAAATCAGACAATCTTTATCAGAAATGATATTTATATTCACTTCACACTCTTATGATATCCACAAAGTTATCTCATGTGAATTCGGTTTCATTTCAAATGAACTTGTATTATTTTTTATTAAATTTTCTAAGGTCATTTGTCAGATGAACATAAACAGAGAATTATAGAAAAGAATCAAGTTTATTTTATAATTTAATTTGGAGCTCAAGAAAACATATTATCATTATGATTATCAGCGGTTCACTGATCAACACAAATTCTGAACAGGAAAATATTTTGGCAAGTTTTGAGATGACAAAAAGACATTTACTACAGGATTGCCTAGTCATATTATGCACCAATAGCACACAAAGAATCTGTCCTCCATAAAAACTCTTTTCAAATTACATTCTTGTTGTTTCATCTGTATTAGGATTAGGATTAACTTTATTCTCATCATCAATAGATAAAGCATCATTAATATGACTACTGTCTTCTTTTTCTATTTCTGGTTGAGCTTCAACTTGTAATTCATCAGCTGGTTTACTTCTATTTAATAAAACTGGACCAAGTATAGCAATCATAAATGATCCTATTGGAGCAGTTAATAAAATAGATAATACAGCTATAGTCAATATCTGAAAAGATTAAATAAAAATTTCTATTCAGGTAATGCATTTTTATATGCCCACATTTTAGTATTAACGGTCAGAGGGTATTTAATATTTTAGTGTTCTGCAACCTTGTGTTTCGGTTTTATCCCCTCTTTTCTGAAAACCGTGTTAATGTGATAGAGACTGTTTTATGAAAATCTTAGTGTGAAGCATTGGGGTCATGAGAGGATGAACCCTCTTATCAATATTTAGCATTCATGGACGGACAAACTCTATCGTAACTCAGAGTTCCCCAAAAGCTTTGTTGATGGAAAAAAGTCTACAGTTTTTAATGAGAGGATGAACCATAGCGATATTCATTGTTCTGTGACCTTCCATTTCAGAGTTACCCACTTTTCCAAAAACAATGTTAACGTGATAGAGGCTACAGTTTTTCACAGATTTTCTTTTCAATTTTGATGTGAAGCATTGGCAGTGTTCTTAAATTTGCAGTGAAAAATACTTTTAATATTTATTGTTCTATATTCAGCTGGGTAATACTATTATGACCTTGGAAGTCAAAAATCTTTTACAACTCATTAACATCTTGTGGTATAAATGGCATATTAACATTTTATTGTATTGACAAATTAAGGATCAGTACGAGTAAATGTACATTAATTTGTTTTTACCTCTTTTCCGTAGCCTATCCATTCTTTATTATCAACACTTGTTGCCATATCTAGTGCCACACCACCAATAGCAGCCTAAAATACAAATCATATAACACAAATATGTAAAAACACTCCATATAGACAAAAATTCATCGCAAATAAAATCCAGTGTAAATTTCCTTAAAACAGTTCTCAATTAAGAATCTAAGGTAAAAAATCGCGCTGAAAAGTGAATGACACAATATTAATTCCTTTAAAGATACATTATGGGAGATTAGATAAAGAGCTGTCAGTGCTCACTATAATAGTTAAAAACTAGATAATGTAAAGGGAATTTGCTGAAAATTTCAGTCAAATTGATCCACTCTGAACCGAGAATTTAGCGATTGAATTTAGGCCTAGCCTCAAACATCATTACTTAAGTCAGTACGATAAAAAACATAATAAATTTTTTGATTTAATCATCAATGAACGTGGAGCAGCAGATCAGATTCAAATCCGGCAAATTTCACAGGCTAGCGATGATATCAAGATAAGTTAATTAATGTCTAATTAATAATTTAGATAACATTTCAGGCCTAAAGAAAGACCTGCAACAGGCAGATTTAGCTCATGCATAATGTATGTTTAATCCATTGACTACAAACATCTAAATTCTTTCATGTAAGCTAAGAAATACATGTTATACATTAATTTATAAAGGACATTTTTTTATAGCTTTTTATAACTGTATAGGCAAACCATTCTTCATCAAACCCACTAGTATTTGAGACTCATGCATGTGCTGTTGTAAAGAGACCCATCACAGTATTACAGACGATATCTTAAGAAAGAACTACCTTTGACTTGGTTCCTTAGTTCATTTTCTCAGTTGAATACTGATTTGAGGATAATAGTTTTGCTAAGGTGATAATTAATTGAATAATACAGCTTGTGTTAATTTCTCTTATATATGTATCTTAATCCATATTCAATATTGATTAAAATTTACAAATAAAATTTATTTGCACAGACAAAGATACATGTAATATGAATTTAAGATTTACAATAAGATTTGAATTTCTTTTATAATCATAAATCCTCTTCTACTTCTATAATATTATAAATAAAAGCAAACTGTGACGTGGTACCAAGACCCTTACTTGAAATTTTTTCAGTCAGACATTTTTACAATTACATCAGTCAAATTTGACAACATTTAGATATTATGTAAAAACACATAATACTATAGTTATACACATGGACCAGTAAACACATATCTGTGTAGCAGCCTCTAATTTATAAACATAATAAATTACCTGAACAGTTGCTTTAGGTAACCAAGCAAATGGAATAAAAAATCTCTCTTTTATTGTTAGATCTGTCCCAAATACAGCTAGAAAGGACGTTATCATTCTAATTCCAAGTCCTATACATAATGTTCCAAAACCTAGACCTAGAATTATTTCAAACAGCAGACTGTAAATTCAACATGCAACAATTAAACTAAAAAACATATAATTTTTCATATATTATTAAAGAAGGCAAGTCGCTAACTCAATATCATCCACAATCTTCGACATTGCAGACACAACTTATTGGTCAATTTAAATCAACATTGATGTTGTAATCTTACCGTGAAAAGATGAGCTTCTGATATCCAATATTTAAGACAAAATGAAAATTTTAATATTGGCACACAAATTGCATGCCAGAATGATTTCGAGCGCCATTTGTAATAAAGCGACTCGATGAACGAGGCTAAATATATCCCATATAGGAGAATACTACATGTGTAGACTGGAATAACCAGACACCAAAGACACCATTGAATTTGGACTCTTTGAGTATTTACACCGAACATAACTGATTAGAAATTACAGTAAAAACAGAAACGATTGAATGTAAATCAGTTTATATACATTCATAATACATAATTACATGCGTCGCAACCCATTTCTAGGTGCCAAGGAATAGCGATTTAGCTCCTTTAAAGATGCAATATTCAAGACTGAAAAGATAGCTTGCCAGGCAACGAAACATAGCTCACAGCAGATAAATTGTCCGAGCAGTCGACGGGGTTGTCGCATATTTATTTTTTTGTAGGTAATTGGAGGCATTTACAAGAGAATTTCATACAGAACAGATTATAATTTTCGTCATTTGAGGGTTCACAAGGTTCTACAAACTGAAACAAGGCCTTTAACTCTAGAAGTAATTTACAGAAATTGTTGAAATTTGACAGGCTTTTTTTGCTTTACTAATTTATATAATGCATATAAATGTCATACAGATCAGATGATAACTGAAACATTCAAAAGGTTCAAAAAGTAAAACAAGGGTCATTCGAACATTCACAAGGTTCACAAAGTAAAACAAGGGCCATAACTTTAAAAAGTAATTGAAGGAAATTGCTGAAAATCATGAATAGACCTCTGTTTCACAAATATAAATGATGCATATAAATTTCATACACATTGGATGATAACTTTCATCAATCGAGCATTAACAAGGTTGAACAAAGTAAAACAAGGGCCATAATGCTAGAAGTAATTATTGTAAATTGCTGAAATTCAATAGGCTTCATCATTTCATCTAAATGATGCATATAAATTTCATACAGATCAGATGATCACTTTTGGCATTAGAGCGTTCACATGGTTCAACAACGTGAAACAAGGGCCATAACTCTAGACTTTATAAATAGAAATTGTTGAAATTCAATAGGCGTCTTCGTTTCACTAATCTAAATGATGCATATGAATTTCATACAGATCGGATGAATTTCATACAGATCGGATGATAACTTTTAATGTTAAAGCGTTCACACTGTGCAACAAATGGAAACAAGGGCCATAACTCTAGAAGTAATCAATGGAAATTGCTGAAATTCAAAAGGGCTTCTTCATTTCACTAATTTAAATAATGCATATCAATTTCATACAGATCGGCAGATAACTTTTGATGATAGAGCGTTCACAAGGTGCATCAAAGTGAAACAAGGGCCATAACTCTAGAAATAATAAACAGAAATTATTGAAATTAAATTGGCTTCTTCATCTCACTAATGTAGACAACATATATCAATTTTAAAACAATTGGATGATAACTTTTGGCATGAGAGCATTCACAAGAAATTGTGGACGGACGGACGGGGGCGACGGCAATATACGTGCACATTTCCATGCAGGCGTATAAAAAGGCTTTCATTTCATACCAACCAGCGGCTGCCAGGCAGGATACACCCACATTTTTCAAGGTACGGATAGAGAACAAGCTAAACAAAAAGCGATTTTTCGTACAATCCAAGGCCATAATTCAGGCAGTTCTGATCCGATATGCACGAATATCGTCAGGAACCAAGATCTATGGGTTATAAGAATATATTTCAAGTTTCATCAAAATCGGATCAAAATTGTGACTCCAAGAAAGAGGGTCCACAACCTTGATATACCATATATTTACACTATTCGCATACAAGGGGCAGCCATTTTGTCCGGCAGTTTGGGTTCGATTTTCACGAAATTCAAACTCAGCCATTAGGGGGTAACGGTGATATATTCAAAGGTTTTTTTTTTCAATCGGATAAAAATTGTAACCTCTAGAGCAGGGCTCACACTGGCTTTCAATTTTTTTCCGCCAAAATGGATGATAATTTTTATACAAAAAAAATGTTCATATTTTTTTCCGCCAACTAGAGGGACCACAACCTAAAACACGATTTTTCGTAAATCAAGGACCATAATTCAGGAAGTTATGATCCGATATGCGCAAATATGTATTTCAAGTTTCATCAAAATCAGATAAAAATTATGGCCTCTAGAGGTTCCACAACCTTGATATACCATATATTTACACCATTTGCGAGGAGTGGCCATTTTGTCTGACAGTTTTGGTCCAATGAAATTCAAACTCAACCATCATTAGGGTGTAACGATGATATATTCAAATGTCTTTTAACTTTCTTCGAAATTGAATAAAAATTGTGACCTACCTATATTGTGTCAATAAACAAATAATGGATGGACAGGGACGAGGACAATATATGTCCACATGAAGCGAAGATAGCAACGCAAAGCATGGAAATACAACCACACAGATACAGATTTTAACCTACTAACTAGTGAGATGATTTTAAACTGTTAAAACCAGTACTCACTGAATACAGGTTTTACTCAGATTGTAGCATACTAAATAGATTGAGTTGTATCTGCTATACTAGTACTCACTGTATACAGATTAATCTGCTACCTAGATAAAGGGGGGGATAACTCTGCAATGAAGAATGACAGGGGCAGTCCTCTCACGACCCCAATGCTTCATAACAAATTTCAAATAAATACATTAAAAACTGTAGCCTCTCATCTGAAATGTGGGTGTACGAATTCAATCAATCTTACAATAGGATTTGAGTTTATTTTATAAATTATGAATCCACTTCTATGTGGGTGTATAAAAATATTGATACAATATACAGAAGTAACCTGATCTAACTTAAATAAAAACATTAGAACAATGACTCTGCAAACCATCACTGGTTCCTAAAGTCGACGTAAATCAATAGCACCACTTTCTCCACGTGAAAAATGATCGGCTGGGAAAATTTTGAAGTGGAAGTCCTGCTTGAAACAATCTAAATAACTCTGGTTTTGGAGTTATACTACTTCAGTTGTACTAAACCACTAGTATAAGATAAAGTGAACAAATTTTCAAAGATATATAATAACTGGTATCATTAATTTTATAGAAGTTTTACCTATAGTATTAACATCAATCTCTAATATTTTAACCTGTGCACCAATTAAACCAAATAACAATGGTTGAAATATCATCCATAATACTCCTACAGCTGCTTCTATCTGATCCTATCAATATAATACAACAATGGCTTATAACATACATATGCTCCATATGTACCATGCAGAGAGATGGTGGGGGGGGGGGGCATACATTTCAGGGGGCATCCAATCAATGAGGGAAAGGATATTAATTTTTTTTAAATCACTGCCCTATTTATTTCATCTGTTTATTTCATACTTAAAATGTCTTCCTTTCTTACATTTATAAGTACTAGGCCCTATACTTGAGTCTTAGGGGCATTGTTAGCCCTGGGCATCATCAAACCTTTGTACGTCACTGTGCATTAATTAACTTTTGTTTCATCTCAATGTTGTATCAATTTGTCATGAATTATGAGTATTTTAAAGATCAATAATATACAAGTGAGTCTGTCAATATTTGGGTTAGAATATGATTTACTGACAGGACATCTTTGTCATAGAAAGTAGTGTAAAAAAACCTAAAAATAACATAAAGAAAAATAATATGATGACAGAAATATTTCTAAAACAATGCCTTAATGTAACAAACTATATTTGTATGTACACTTACACTGGTTTGTTTTGAAGCTGTTTCCTGACGCCATTTAAAAGCTGCAACAAAAGGGAGTGTCAAACAGCCTAAGGGACCAGCACCAGACCAGTTAACATGTCGAGATCCAAATAAGGCAAACAAACCACCGGCCAATAAACATGCACATCGAAAAAGTCCAAGATGTTTCTGTTAAAATAGAAATGGTTATTTTAATTCTGTACATATATATCAAAATATTATGTTTTGTTCTAGTGTATAGCAATTCCAAGACAATGCTTTTAATACTGGGGGTTGTGGAATTGAATATCAATAGTCTATTCAATTGGAGCCATTATAATACTGTCTAAAATCCATGCTATAAATTAGGCAATATTCATTGATGGATATATTTTAATTAAATAATCTCCCCTCGAATCTGTGCAAACAGTTATATCTATCTCCATGATCAGCAGATTCTCTGGTTTATGAATTCTAAAATTCTATACACGTATGTGTATGACTTAAACAAGTCATTGTTATGATTTAAGAATTTGAATTGTTTTAATCACAACAATTTCCAAGCTTAAATGTGCTACTTTTTAGACACAAATAATTGACCAACAAGTCCAAGTGCGTAGAAGAATGTAGTTCACCTGAATTTACCTGGAAATTATTCATTTTACATAACCATTACTTACACTAGATTTTTGGGGAAGGTACCATAATATCAAACCACCAAATATACCATACACTATTCCTACTAATGCCTCTAATGGACCTTTAAATAATGTCCATACTAAATCACCTGTAATATATCATATTAATATATAAAATAACCTTACATTCCCCTAATTATTAAACCTTAGATAGACAGGGACCTGTTTCACAAAAACTTAAGGTAAAACCACTAAAAATAAAATAGATTTTAACTAAAATCAAAATGAAATTTTAAATTTTATGCTTTTCACGAAGATCGATTGTAACTTAAAATGCAATTTTAAGAGATTTTAGTTAAAATTGCTTGCACATGCACAGTGCACATTTCTGATGCAGGAACTTACGGTTTAAGCAAATACGCCTCGAAACTGAAAACTGTTGACAGGTTGAACTGACAGGTACAATATCAATAGGGAGAGTTTCATACGATGTAACAATCATAGCAAGGTGAAATAAATGAGTTTATTGCGTATTATTCGTTTCGAAATGTATCGGTGGGTTGGCCTTGAACTTGGCATTTGATTCATGGCCTTGGCATTTGATTTACTCGCAGGCTTCAATGTAAATAATGTGTATTGATAAACTATATTAAATCGCTTGAATTTCGTAGTTTTATGGTATTTTGGATAACAAAAACTATTGAGAATTGTCACAAACATGATATTTGTGACTCAAACGACTAATCTAGGCTGTAAATTGTTGTCGAATTTTAAAAGTATTTAACAACTTTGAAACTGATCCATAAGATGACATTTCAAATCTAGGCATCGGAACGATGCCTAGATTTGATATGTCATCCTATACTGTTTTAAAAATACTTTGAAATTACCAAAATGCCACACTCCTTATTGGATAATGCATATCTATTTACTCAAGTAAAATGATTTTTTCCCAAAATAAAATATCTTTGGCTCCTAAAACGTCTCTAATTTATGCCTTCATTATGATAATAAATTCATGATATTAAAATTTAATTTCAAATAGACCTATAAAATTTTTCAATAAACACATATGAGATTATTGATTTATCTTTTTTACAAACCCCAAAACCATATGAGTAAATACTTTGCATGTGGGCCTGTAGGCCTTCTAATACCAAGAAATTGGCAATTTTAAACCACTGTAGGCCTACACGAAGATATTCTTTTATAGATAAGAGTGCTCTTCTTTCCATGACATTAGATATGAAGTGAGTTCAGATTTTTTTTTTTTTTTACCTCTATTAATTATTTGAAAATAGTATAATTTATACTTGAATCATATGGTAATATATAAAATAGTAACAAAGAGTTTTGTTTACAGGGATTTGAGTGTTTTTTTTGGGTGGGTGGGGGATAATTTGGGGTGGGGCGTCATCTAATTGCTTAAATTGCAGCTATATTTCACATGCTATAATGAAAAGATATTAAATGAGAATTGTTTTTGTGAATAATAGTATGTTAAAATTCTGTGCCCCGGGCCATTGGCAATATTATCATTATTCCAAATATATCTATATGCCGCAATAGATCTAACAACGTATCTCTAATCAATGTTTGTTAATGTTGTGATTTTAAGTAAGGAGAGAGTGACGGCTGTGCTAAGTTAGAATTGATTTTAGTTAATATTGTCCCTAAAATAGTTTTGTGAAACATCACTATTTTAAGTTAATTAAGATAAAATTTTAACTTAAAATATTATTTTAGTGGATTTTATCTAAAATGCTTAAAATCGTTTTGTGAAATGCATCTATCTTAAGTTAGGATGGAATTTTAGTTTAAGATGATTTTAAGGAGATTTAAGTTTTTATGAAACAGGGCCCAGGTTCCTTAAAATACTCCCTAGCAGCAAATTCAAGTCAGCCTTAAAATCACATAGCATAGAGCAAGTTTTAAGTCAAAATGTGATTGGAGAAATAAACTATGCAAAATGCATTTGAAATTTACTATGAAAAACGTGTTTGAAATTTACTATCCAAACATGTTGAAATTCAATAGTGTTCTTCCGTATACGGTATGTCAACGTTAACAATGTCACCAGGTTTTACAAAAACAACTGAGAACTCCGCCTTGAAAGTTGTGAAAGTCTAACAATGGTGACTAAGCTACACTTGTTGATCTAAGATGGAACAGTGAGAAAGTATTGAAAGTCTGAAATCCTTGCCAAAAATTAATGAAAAATTCTCAAAACAATGCACACAATTTTAATAACCTAGTGGAAAAACTTAATGAACCTGTCTAAAACTAGTTAATCTTATTTATATGATCATAACAACTGTAAAATTTTCAAAATAATCAATCAATGACTCGTTGATTTCATATTCTAAGTGCCCTTTATGTCTATATTTAATAATAATTTATTCTTTGTTAATAATAATTCATCCTTGTTAATAATAATTTATTCATTTTCAATAATAATTTATTCAATTATAAGGCACCCAAAATCCAGCTAAAAGCTGCTTGATTTACATCAAATATTGACAAAATAGGACTGTACATCTTTACATCTTGAATATTTACATAACCACTGTAAAATTTTCAACATGATCCATCACTAACTCAAGGACACGCTGACATAACAATTAAAGCGCACTTTGTGTCTACATAAAATACTGGCTGAGTAATAAAGCATTTCATCCATAACAGAAAATTTAACGAATCAGTCTCAAAATGTTGGTTAAATTCTACAAATAGTTGAAAGATAGGTTGCCAGGCAACAAAACATAGCAGCTAAATCGTCCGAGTGGTCAACAAGGGTTGTTGCATATTTATTCTTTTGTAGGTAATTAGGGGCATTTACAAGACAATTTCATACAGATCAGATCATAATTTTTGTCGTTTGAGGGTTCACGAGGTTCTACAAACTGAAACACGGGCCTTAACTCTGGAAGTAATTTACAGAAAATATTGATATTTGACATGAATTATAAATTTCATACAGATCAGATGATAATTTTTGTCATTCGAATGTTCACAAGGTTCACAAAGTAAAACAAGGGCCATAACTCTAGAAATAATTGACGGAAATTACTGAAAATCAATAGACCTCCATTTCACAAATTTAAATGATGCATATAAATTTCATACATATCAGAGATAATTATCATCGATCAAGCATTAACAATGTTGAACAAAGTGAAACAAGGGCCATAACTCTAGAAATAATTATTGTAAATTGCTGAAATTCTATAGGCTTCATGGTTTCACTAATCTTAATGATGCATATAAATTGGATGATAATTTTTGGCGTTGGAGCGTTCATAAGGTTCAACAAAGTGAAACAAGGGCCATAAACCTAGATGCAATAAACGGAAATTGCTGAAATTAAATAGGCTTCTTTGTTTCACTAATTTAAATAATGCATATAGATTTCACAAAGATCGGATGATAACTTTTGTCGTAAGAGCGTTCACATGGTTCAACAAAGTGAAACAGGGGTCATAACTCTAGAAGTAATAAACAAAAATTGCTGAAATTCAATAGGATTATTCTTTTTATTAATTTGAATGACACATATCAATTTCATACAGATTGGTGAATAACTTTATATGTTAGAGCATTCACAAGGTGCAACAAAGGGAAATAAGGGCCATAACTCTAGAAGTAATAAACCGAAATTGCTGAATTTCAATATGATTCTATATTTTACTAATTTAAATGGCGCTTATAAATTTAATACAGATCGACAGATAAATTTCTATGTTAGAGCGTCCACAAGGTGCAACAAAGTGAAACAAGAGCCATAACTCTAGAAGTAATTAACAGAAATTGCTGAAATTAAATAAGATTATTCATCTCACTAATGTAAACAACAAATATCAATTTTAATAGGCTTCTTTGGTTCACTAATTTAAATAATGCATATAAATCAGATAAGTTTTGGTGTTATGAGTGTTCACAAGAAATTGTAGACGACGGATCGACAGACAGACAGATGGACGGGGGAGATGGCAATATATGTCCACATTTCCATGTGGGTGTATACAAATTTACGAAGTTAAGTCAAAGACTTAAGAAATAGTACGCACGTGACCCTTTCCACATACCAGCATAGAATCCAAACCCTATCACTTGCCTTAATAAATTGTATTCAAATTAATGAAACAATTATACAAAGTGCATATCAATAATATATCTATGGAAAACATTCTACAAAATCCTAGAAAACTGCCAAACATCTGATTTTAGAAATTTATTAATGTTAAGATTATAAACAGATAAAAAATCTTTTTTAAAAAAAAGAAGATTATTTTGTGTAATGATAAATATTTCAGGTTATTGTTAGTAATATAACAGTTTTAAATATATACCTTTAGAGAAAGCTATACCCAATAAAACTCCAAAACCTGTAATAGCCAAAACATCATCTATACTGGCTGCTGCTATAACTAATGTTGGTACACCTTTATCTACTCCATAACCTTTATCCGATAATAAGAAAAGTGAGGGAACCACTACCGCAGGAGAAACAGCTGCTAATACAAACCTACAAAATATCAACATAATATTATATCAAACCATCATTCATTTTTCATTCCAAATATCTCCATATTATTATTTTCATAGATTTAGACTTGATTATCCAGTTCAAATTAATCTCTGATATATGCACCACAACACATTTTATTTTTTGAAGTTGACCTCGCATTTTCATTCAAAAGAAGTGTGAAACATATTGTAAAGGTTATATTGTTAAATTTGATTTGCATACAGGAACCCATGTGTATCAACTGATAACCAGTGAAATCTCTGACTTCACCTTTAATACTCAAACGGTTTTAGATAAGGCATGTGTTGTTAGCACATTTTTTTAGATTTAACACTAAACACGTTCATAAGAATAAAATAATAAAAGAAATGATATCTTACCCTAACATAAAACCAAACTCCCAGGGTAATCCCAGTAGGAAGTGTGATACTATTCCATCTGTAATAGTTTCCATTAAACATGGTGAAAACGCTAGACGTATTACTACAAATGATAACCTCTTTAATGCTTTAGGATCTAGACCAAGACCTGCCCGTATCAATATCACAGCCAATGCTATTTGCCTACAAAGTACCCCAAAAAATATTTAAACAATACCATTTATAATACTGAAAGTAATTCTATAGAACTTGCTTATCTGAACTATATATCCAAATTTAAATTTAAATTAGGTAGGATAAAACACACAAGAGTAATAAATCTAGAAGGAGTAATCTGAATAATGCAAACAAATTTCAAACAGATTAGATGATAACTATAGTTCCTAGAGCAAAATTCTGCAAAGTGATCAAGGGCATTAACTCTAGAAACTATTATCAGAAACTGTTTCTTTGTCTCATTAATCTGTACAATGCATATCATTTCAGGCAAATGGAATGATAACAGCTCTAGATGGCACTTGAGTATTTACAAGATAGGGGTGATGGCAATATACAACCATATTGAATACTTTGAAAAATATTAAAGATACTTAGATAGGCACAATTTCATAAAAGTTGTTTTATTGTAGTCTCTGAACCCATCAGGTAAATGATTGTAACCAGAATGTGTGTTAAAAATTTTTTATTCTTGTGTGTTCAAAATGGGTATTTCGAAACATTTGGATTTATGACAGCACAAGTTGTATTTTTTATGAAATTTCAATAAGCATATTTAGGCATATGTTGTAGTTTTTATCATGAGCTGTCAAACTAATAGTTATATGCAATCCGAAATCAGTTATTGAATCAATAACACACTTTCCTATTCCATAGGGGACTGTTGAGGATAATAAAAAAAATGTGTGTGTTGTAATGTTTTTACAGCAGTAACAATTACCTGGCACCTATAGACCAAGTCATTTGGATGTCATCTGCAACATTTATATGTGGAACATTTCCTAATAAACAACCAACAATCAACATACCTTAAATATAAAAACATAAAATTCTCTTATCTTTAATTTACAACTAATTCAATTATGTCAAAAAGAGATGTTTGCATCCGCCATGGTTTTCCAAGCACAATTACACAAACTCTTGGAATTATCATGTTATGTGGGTATTTAACAAAAATAGCAAAGACCAAACTTTCAATTCTACTTAGACACATATATATCAGTTATTTTTAGATTCCAACATTATTTGTATGTTACTATTTTCCAATACCCTTTATGCTGTATGACATCATTTGCATATAGCATCAATAATAATCTTGGTTGGATGAAAGTGTGTCGGTACAGTAAAATTGTTTATATGATATCAATGGTGCAGATCAGCATTGTCTGAGGTCTAATAAATTTTTATGTCAAAGACATCATTACAAACATTATAGACAGGCAATGCACAATTCGATAGATTGACTAAAATCAAAGAAATAAACAAAACATACCTAACAAAGCTGGGAGACGTATTAAATTAAAAATATATCCACCACTCCAACAAGCCATGAACAATACAACTAACGAGAATATATTTCCTCCGGGTAACATATCTTCTTTAGTTAAAAAATACATGACACCATACCACAAACCAAATAATAAAACACATACCATCACTGCTCCTAAACGACCATGAGGTGGACACATTAACGCAAAAGCTAATCTACTTATACAGGACGCTTTTTCTGGCAACGGATTTTCATCGGCCATGATAGGCCTACAACATTGGAAACAACAAGATCTACATTTGGCACATTTTTTTACTTCTGGTTCCAGAGATTCTTTGATTTCATATTCAATTTCATTTTCATAGATTTCGTGATATTGAGTCTCATCAATATCGATGGCTCCATTTGTCTTGCCACCATCCAAAACACCTCCACCTTTTTCTGTGGTTGTCATTTTCTTTCTTCTCTTTCTCCTCTGACGGTTAACGTGTATGAAATATCTGGCTGCTGTAATGGCAAAAATGTTAAAATTATGTATTTGTAAATAATTTTTTTTAATACATGTCGTCATGTAGCCATATATCTCTATCATTACATAATTAAGTCATGGAGTTATCGACCAGTTATCATCGAGAATGACCATTGTAAATAACAATGAATAGTATTTAAATAGAATTACTAAAAATTAATCTTTAGTTTTGTGCTATCATATCATTACTTAAAGAAGTCCTTCCAGATGTTTTTAGAAAATAAAACTATTTAATTATATGTAAAACATTTATAAACTATACTTATGTAAGAGCAATTACTATTTTCTCAATGTTTTTTAAGCAAGTACAGTAATGCCTCTAAAGGATTGAAACATTTATCTTAATCCTATGCAACTATTTGAAGCTCTCTATTACTTTTTCAAAGTAGAACAAACTTTTAGTTTCCATATGCAGTTGGGGGTACATCTAAATGCCGAAATGTCACACTTCAACAGAATGGATAACCATACATATATCCTTGCTGAAGATATAATGGTCAATGATTGTGTTGTTCATACATTTGATAAAGAAGTTATATGAACGAATTACATAACCCTGTTAAACATATCTGGCAATCTTTTATAAACGGATGGCCCAATATTCTGAGATGAAATTTTCATTTATTTGGGGTATTTTTTCACATTTTAATTTTCAAGTTTATCGATAACTACTCATATGAAATCTGGAACTCCCCCTTGAATTTGGATGAGAAGCTATTAAACAAAATAATACATATATATAAGTGTACAACCATCTTGATTCAGATTTTCTCAGCTAGTTAATAATTTGTTTACTGAAGGAGTTTTTTAAAAACAAAATATATGTTTGTCGTTACATTGGTTTCATTTTACTAATCATTTTTTAATATTATAAATATGTATTAATATTATTTGTTTTCAGATGTTACCATTATTACTGAGGCAAGAAATTATTCTAGAAGTTTCAGACGACCACAAAAAACTAAGTTACATCACAATATGAAGCACCATTTCTTAGATTACCAACATTTATATAAATACATGAACCAATTCATTTAATCCTGCAATGACAACTGTCAATCATCTAGCTATGTACTGTTACAGAATTAGTCAACAAATTTAATTTACCATACCATGAAATTTGTTTGTAAAAAATTAAAATCCACTATCATTAAAATCTAAGCCATAACTGAAATCTTTTATTCTGTCACAAAATGTAATAGATACAATAATAGTTTTCAAAACCAACCATTGAGTAAGAGAATTTATCTTTGGGGAGTATCTTTTAATAATGTGTAAATAAACCCCCACTGATACACACTATTTGAAGGGCATGTGTATGCAGTAGGTCTATATATATATAGGTAAAGTCAATAATTAGACTAGTTGGGAACCAGGCATGCTATACATATGGATGAATAATATAGAGTAATTGTTATTACCTGTGAACATATCAAAATCAATTAAAAGCAATAATAAATGTATAAATTTGTTGTATTATGAAATTGTTAATTTGAGAAACAGGATGTTACTGTAATCAATAATGTCATAGTTACCGTGACAAACAGGAAGTTCTTGTCATCAATAATTATAGGAAAGATGCAATTCTCTCAACAAAATAACTGTAAACAATATTTCTTAAGTTTAAAGCTGTACAGACATTTATGATATACACTAAAAGTTGTTAGTAGACTTGAGAAACCCTATTGACTTCTGATTGAAATTATTTAATATAATAAAGAGAAGTGAACAAAACACATTTTTTTACAAGTCTCTATACAAACCATGAATAACACTGAGTCTTAGTTGATGTATTCTATAGATAAATAAATATTTGCATATCAACTACAATAATAGGCTTATAAAAGCATGTCTATATACATCATGACTACCAATAAGCAATTACACATTTATTCTACATCCTATTTTGACCAAATATTTCTGCACATCATACTATATAAATATGTTAAAGGGGCATTATGGAAGATTAGAAAAAGAGCTGGCAATTCTCACCCACCGATAGTTAAAAGATAGGTTGACAGGCAAGGAAACATATGCCCACGGCAGCTAAGTTGTCCGAGCTGTCAACAAGTGTTGTCACATATTTTTTTCTATTGTCGGTAATGAAACATTTATAATACACTAAAATCTGATTAAGAGTAACAACTCATTAAGTAATTATCAGAGAATCATTAGAATTTGTTTGGCTTTTAGTCCTGCCCCATGCTATCGGAAATCACTGAAAATCAATAGGCTTCTTTGTCTCATGACCTTAAACACTGTGTATAAATTTTTAAAGTCAATTGGATGTTAACTTTAGCCTCTAGAGCATTCACAAGCAAATGTGGGCGCCGGACCGACGGCCAGACTGACCGACGGTGGCGACGACAATATACGACCACATTTCAATGTGGGCGTATAAAAAACTAGACAATGTAAAGGGAATATGCTGAAAACGTCAGTCAAATTGCTCGACTCAGAACCGAGATATTAGCGATTGAATATTAGGCCTAGCCTTGATCATCATTACTAAGTCGGTACGATAAAAAAAACATTGTCTCAATTATCCAATTTTGCATTTAATCATCAATGAGCACTGAGTAGCAGATTATTGAATTCAAATCCAGTGAAAATTGAACACATAAGATGGCATCAAGAGTTGATAAATGTCTATTTAGCAGTTTATATAACATTTCAGGCCTAAAGAAAGACATGCAATAGGCAGATTTAGCTTGTATGTTTAAAACTACACACCTACATTTTATACATGGGTAGAATATGGATAGACATTAATTTAATTATGTCAATCCCTTCACCTCACAATAATTTCATGACATATTAACAGTATAACAATAAATACACATATAGGTTTGGTATCAACTTATAATGGATATATTGAAATCAGTTTATATATATTATCTTGGCAATATGCCTTCTGATATTCATACATAGGTATGCAAAACAGATAATCAATAGAGGGTGTACAGTTCGCTCATGTTTCAATAGGCAGACAGATTTTTTATCAACAAATCCCATACCATCTGATAATGGATTTTAATTTTGTTTTTTAAATATTTAACCAAATAAAGTATATTATGATCTATATGTGATGTACCTTTTGTTCAAAATGTTTTTTGATTCTTTTGTTGATTTATGATAGCTATTAATTGCTTTACAACATTGGTCTTTTGTACAATCGGAACGACTAGACACTGTTTCTTGACAGGCCATTGACAGATGTCCCAAATAACTTTCTAAAAAGAACACTGGGATCGAACCACAGATTTCTTTGAATTGTTTGTAGAATGTTACATCAAAAAACAATGCAACTTATTGATATGGCATTGTAGCAGGAGGCATATTTTTGGAAAAGCAACTTTATATCAAAACTACTTTATATCAAAATTTCATTTATAAAATTAAATCCTTTGAATATAAAACCAAACTGAACTCATGCTTATTCAAACATTAACAAACTATTTTCTTATTGCTATCCAAAAACAACTAGAAAGTATCCACAACAAACTATGTAACAATAAAAGTGACTTAAAGTAGCTAAGTCTCTAACTCAATATCATCCAAAGTCTTACACGTTGAAAATGCGAATTATTTGTCAATTCAAATCAACATTGATGTTGTGATCTTACCAGGAAAAAGCAGGCTTCTGATATCCAATATTTAAGACAAAATAAATATTTTACCATTGGTACACGAATCGTGTACCATAGTGCGTTTTAGCGTCATTTGCAACAAGTGACCAGAAAGAACGAGGCTAGACATATTCAACTGGAGAGCCTGCTGAATAGACTGGAATAACCAGACGCTAGAAATTGCTATAGGGTTGAAACACATGCCTTATTTCGCTGGACATAACTGATTTGAAATTAGAGTCAAAATGGAAACAATTGAATGTAAATCAGTTTATATAAAATCAGATTACATTATTATATGCGTTGCGACCCATTTGGGTCAATTTCTAGGTCCCAAGTATTAGCGATTTAGCTCCTTTAAGATAGCCAAGTTCCTCATGCATATTTACTGTAATCCTTCATTGGAGTGTCACCCCGACCTTGAAACTATTGAATAATTTCTACTCTTACTCACACTACACATTCTATCCATATAATACCCTTCATTTACTACCAATTTAATTCTGCTGTATGATAACACTGAATTACTTCCTCACTTCAACATGAATATTTTTTAAACCATTGTAACTATGGTACATGAAAATATTCAATTTACAAAATTAAAGGTTTTACTTCATAAAATATCATGTTTTTGGCAAAGATTATATTAATTAAATAAATATTATATCAAATGATTAGTTTTATTTATTTATTTGTTTATTTATTTATACATATTTACATGTAATTAAAATTTTACAATGCTACATTTTCCATATGATATCAGGCAGTGTAAGCTTACTCTTCCAGACACCTGTTACTGTGACTGTTCATCATGTATTTTGTACATGGTGAACAGTCCATTTGCTGATTACAGTATTTTGTCAATACTGTTTTTTTTTTTTTAGTTTTTTAGGATTTTGAATTTTGTGTAATGGTTTGGATTGTTCTTACTCGGTTTTATTTTATTTTTATTATTAAATTATATATGTATTATCATATTCCTACGTATTTATTTATTGATGTATTTATACTTTCCCTAAAATGTCATAATAATTTGTTCTCCTTAACAGTTATTGTAGATACAACCTAACCAGTGGCATAAACTGGATTTTCAAAATGGGAAACAAAATTTTACATAAACATGATTGAAGAAGTCATTTCATGGGAATGTTTGGTCAAAATCAGACTTTTGTAATAGCCAAACAGTAGGCTAAATAACTAAATAGATGAAAACGAAATGAAATGTGGTTTAACATCCTACTGTTCTGCCCTGACTGGGCTAATGAAGGGCATACGGCATACAGTGTGCTATGTGGGAAATTTTGCCTCGATAGCGGCACTACGGCCTACTCTTATATGTGCATGCCAATGAATGTGTACACAGGTCCTCATTTTATCATCCCATCTGAATGACTATACATTGTCCCTGGCCAGGCCCTCTGTCCTTCGCCACTGTCAGGGAGAAACTATGCCGGAAAATCTTGATGAACTTTCTAGGCCATCGTAGGGATCAAACACAGGACCTCCAGGTTAGTGAGTCAATGTCTTGCTCACTGAGCCACCGTGGCTCCCTAAATGGATGATAGAGGTAAATTAAAGAAAGTTGAAGCTATCTGATAAATTGTCAAGATTCATCCCCTTATTTTGGTCTCTAAATGGTATATTTCTAAATCACTTCAACAAAATGTCTGTCATCATAAAATGATATGTATTTGGTATTTTTTAAATAAAACATTAACAACAATAAATATCAATTGGTTATCTTTTAATAAGATGAAGCAATCTACAATTTCAAAACTAATAGCTAATTGTTATAACCAAATGGTATCACATAATTCAATGTTTAATTATTTTTCAAAAAATGTCCATTGCAGATTTGTTAAGTTAGAATGATAAATATTTTTTTAAATTGGTTTAGACATATACCATTTGGAAACGGTAAAAAGGTAGACGGAAGGCCTACTAAGGAAGATGAGAATTTAAAATTCTAATCAAAGCTTCTTTTTTTTTACACCCTCCATGTATATACTAAATCTAGATATTTTGGTATAATAAAATTTTACCTGATTTCGATATAATAAATCATTATTTTCACTAAACCACGATGTTCATGATAGCATAATTAAAAAAAAAAATACTTTCACCACTTTAACCTTGATACTATACACAACACATTTCAATTCACTGAACATGTCTAAATATTGCTTTCCGTTTTCTACAAACTTTATTATACTTCATTACTTCCTATAAGAGCTATATTAAAACAGAAGACCTTCTTCTAAATTTGTTTTATTTTGTTCAGGTCACATAATACTGAATATCATTTAAACACCTTCAAGAGCTCATTCTATTATGATATATACCTAAACTGCATGTAATTCTGTATTTTTAGCTACCCCTTATAGTGTGTACATAATTGTTATTCAAATCTTTTTGAAAAAAAAAAGACACAACGCCCTGGAAAAAATATAATATGATGTGTTATAAAAATATATGTTTAGTTCAACAAGTGTAAAGAGTCTCTATCTAGTTTGGATTTTCGAAATATTCAATTGATCAACAAGCCATTAAATTGTTTGATTTTCCTTCACATAGTTTATAAATGACGTAGTTTGACTCACCACTTAGCATTGTTTAATTATGAAGTTAATGATAATATATCCCTTGTTATTATATACAAACAACTAGAAGATGTTGTCATTCATCAATTCTAATATCATATACCACTAAAATTAAAATACTTATGACTTTAAATCAAACAACTATCCTTCAAGTTTAAAACTTTCACCAGTTTTTAGTGTTAAGATGTGCTAATCTAATTATATCTAATGTCATAATCCCTAATTATAATTTTTAACACATTTTATCAATGATATATGTAAGGGCTTTATTTAAATCTTGTTAGTGAACATGTGTAAGCAAGAAATAAGGATTGTTTTAGACAAAGATCAAAGCCTGTAAATAAGGCTAAGTATTAAATAAAGTCAGACATG